AAGGCACTCCGCTTTGCGTCGTGCCCTTAAACTCGTTGCGCGTGCTTTAAAGACTTGATTATACACTTGTATCTTAATATACTATTTTTACAAAATTGCATTCAAATCGCATCCCCCTGCCGGTAATGAATTAGCTGAACGATTGTCGCTAGGAAAATTTTGATAAAATTTCAATTTAAAGTACCCTCCAGTGACAAATTAGTTAAAGGTATACTAATGCAGGATAAGAAGGGTGGGAACATTTTCTGTAGGCTACCACAAAATGTGTCGTTTTACAAAATTTCATTTTAATTGCACCTTCCGGCAAAAAATTAGGGAAAAGCGTATTTTTATAAAAGGATTCACAAACTTTTTGGCTGTTTAATATACAGAAAGTGTTTTTTTTAGAAAATTAAATTCTAATTATACCCTCCACATATAGCAGAATTAGCTGGAGGCATGTATTGATAGAAGAACCGATGACCCAAAAATTTTTATACGTTAAGTACATACTAAGTACTAAGTAAATACACAAAAAGTGTCATTTTGCAAAATTTTATTTTATTTGCACCCTCCAGTAAAGTATTAGAAGACGAACGCGTGGAAATTTTTTTTGTACATTCGCAGTTAGCTTTAAGGGCGCGGCCCTTGGAATATGTTTATAATATTTCAATTTAATTGTACCCTCCAGTGAAGAATTAGTTCAAGACACATTGATAGAAGGATGGATAAATGGAAAAATTGTCTAAATGCTAACCACAAACTGTGTCTTTTTACATTTCATTTTAATTGCACCCTCCAGTAAGGAATTTGCTAAAGGGATGTACCTATTGGGAATGATGGGTTGAAAAACTTTACTGCTGCTTTGCAAGATGATTATTTTACGCCAAATCCTACTTTTTGATGACCTTTCGACTTTTAAATAAAAGGCCTACAAGGTAAAATGTTGATTTAATTGCAAACCATTGGCTAAAAAAAGAAGCCTCTTTTATACGCAATTATATTTTTTGCTTATATTCGCCGCAGTTTCTGAGTCCTTTGAACCGTTTGATTGTACAAAAGTGAGTTAATTAAATTAATTTGACATTGTTCACAACAAAGCAGTCCAATAAATTAAATCTTTACATGTTAGAAAATACCTATACACAATCATTTTGAAGCAGAGTTTTTGAATTTAACTTAGCAACGGCCGCAGGTGCGTTAATGACGTGGCGCGTTATCTTTGAACACGTGTTGCAGGTAACCAATGAAGTTTCCAATTATGTTCTAATTAAATAAATGTTCTTGTAATAATAGGCAGAAAGTATACCCAGGAATCATGTACCAAAACTCTTGATTAAAAAACCCACACCACCTAAAACGGAGTTTGCAAAGGCATTTCTCAATTTTCAATTGCATATTTTTTGGTACAAGTAAGCGTGGTTTTATGTAGTAGGTACATGTTCATTATCTTGCTTTTTACCTTACGCCCCTAAATAAACAAGTCAAAACACTCACCCCTTAGCCTCCTTGGTTCAGATTATCCACGAGAAAAACTCTACCATTGGAAGAAGATACGTACTTACACTACACTACACTACCGCACTATTCAAATTCTCATACGATACTGGTTATTGTTATTGGGAATTTTGAGGTATACAGATAACAGGTGAGACAGAGAACATGTGCCTTAACGAGCTTCTTTCGTAGAGGTCAGTTTCGCGCCGATATGGTACTGATATTTCTAATCATTGCTGGCCAGTGAAATTTATTCACAAATTTAGAAAACATATTTTATTGACTAAGCGTTTTGAGTACAGTTGCACTCGAAAATATTTTCATAAATGGGAAATGCAGCAATGGTGACCATTTTATCCGTTCATTTATCAAACTATTTCTAAACGGTTCGCATTGGTACGAAATTTGTACAAATTTTCTTACAAAAATTGTTGCTGTAAAACAACATATTTCCACCCTTCATCTGTCCATGTCTTATGCTACTTTTTAATTTTTAATGTTTGTAGAAAGACGCTTGTTTGTATTGAGTAACGACCACAAACGCATTTCTATCTTTCCTTTGATTTATCTATTAGTACATACATAAGTACATGTCTTCCGCTTACAAACAACTACTCCTTGTGTTAAATCAACGTTTTGTCGTCCATTTAAAGGACTAAAGTGCAACTTTTTCTTTTGGAAAAAATTTGAAGAATTTGATAGAACATCTTTTGGGGTAGATCCGAATACAAAAGACTGCCGACATTTGATCAAATTTTCACCCATCTACTCGAATCCGCAAAGGTTTACAAGAACAGGTGACTTCCCCTCAGCCTCCATAGCACTTTCAAGAACGCATTCCTCGTCCAGGTACCTAATTGTATAATTCTTTCTAAGGAGACGTAATGTACGAATATATTTTGAAGAAAACTATAAGAGGAGCGTGTACAATTTTCCAAGGGATACATTAGAAAGGAAACGAGTTTCAGATGTACGGCTTGTCCCGAACAACCTCCATTATGCCCCGGGTCTCAACAAAAGGAACTGTTTTCTACCAAATACCACCCTGAAGAGTTTATTTTCATTAGGGAAATAAACTCTTCGTCTATTAGAATTGTAGGTAATACCTATACGTATTTAAAAACTTGGAAAATCTTGCACAAAATAACAACCTAATAAAAAAATAATAGAAAACTTACCAGCAAACATTCATTTTGTGAACTGCTGTCCCTGTTACTTACGAGGGTTAATAAATCTTCGGGGTCGAAATTGCCGGAGGTGAATCTTCCAGGGGCGAATTTACTTGGGGGCGACTTTTCTTGGGGGCGACTTTTCCGGGGCGAATTTTCTGGGGGGCGAATTTTCGAGGGAGAATCATCCTACAATCAAAATCATACACTCTAATACCTTTTTTATCACGGTATGTTTCCGCGACACCGCACCTTTATCATTATAGAATGTACAGTGGGGTAGAAATATTTTTTGTATACTACTTACCTAATACTCAAAAAAGGTCTTTCTACATCAAATTTCACTACTTTCAATGGCTGTACTTAATGCAAAGTCTCCTTTATAATTTCATAATTTTAAAACCGCGAGTTATGGGCGATCTGTATATGAGCAGTGAACGGTTGCTCAGTTACACAATCACTCAAGGAAGCAAAGATAATCCATGTAGCTAGGTATTGTACTGCAAGAGTTACAACCCTCTCATCAATATGTGTAAGTCTCGAGTTTACAAATCCACGAGAAGACTTTTAGGATTTTTAGTTCATATTTAGTGTCCTGAGGGTATTGGTGCCTTTATGTACCTTTAGGGGTTCGTGTGTCTTTAAAAACGTATATTAAGTGTGTATTTAAGGATCCTCAAAGGGTCTCTAAAAGAGCTTTTCAGGTTCTTTCTAGGTTTTAGAGAAACTTTAATGGTTTTTATAACCGTTAAGAACGCTTAAGTGTTTTTTTTATGAGCCTTGAAGACTTTTCAAAATTATTGTTTTCAAGTGACCAAAAATTTTCAAGAATCTTCATAAAACCTTTCTGAAATTGTGTACCTAATAGCATTGAATAAGTAATATTACTTATTCAATGCTAATAGTCTTTAAAACGACTGAGTATTTTGTTTGTTGGCTTACAAAGGAAAAGACAAATGTTCTTATTTATAGAAATGTATTAAATGAAATGATAATAACAAACTACAATACGTAGGTACATAGAATAGACGCATTGAAGGATTAAAGAGTTTTTGTTCCTGAAAGAATGGTTTAAAGCTCGAGGCTTGCCGAGGGCTTTAATATTCTTGAGGGAACAAAAACTAGTTTAATCCAGTGTTACCTACTTATACTATTTTTTAAATAAAAATTATTTATTCAATAATAGACGGGCACCATTGCTTAGCAACTAATAATGAGGGCGCCAACACCCAACAACGGCAATAGTACAACAAGTTGCATAACTGCTTAACTATACCATTGATTATACTGTATAATCAATGACTATACCATTTTACCATCATTGTTAACTTTACCATTACTTTACTATTCCATTGTATGTAATAAATATACAATGACTATTCAGATTCACTATACTAACATGTATAAGAGGAACGAACTACCTTTCCTTACTAACTATAAACAGAGTGAATTCGACCTGTAACTTTTGATGTATAGTAGCCCAATCTTGGAACTGTTTGAAATTGTGGATTCTACAGGCCACATTCTATAAGAAAATGTTTTTTCCCGGTCGATCACAGACAATTTTTTTTTCTGGCCTCAAAAAAGGCAGTGTATAACCTTCCTTTTTTACCAAAAATCGACTGCACCATTTCTCGGGAAAACACTTTTTCTTATTAATTTTGGTGCGTAGAATCCAAAACAATTCGTACTTTTTCGATTAGACTTCTCAATCAAAAGTTATATAGACTAGAAACCAATTTCGAAAGGGCTGTAACGATACCCTTGCAAATTATTTAAAACCAAAAGCCTCAAGAGCAGGGCAAAGGTTGATTTATGAATCCACCTTGAGTAGGGGTCTATGGGTCAAATGCAAATTTTTATGTGTAGAGATTAAGAGGATGTCCGCTGGATGGTGTGTTGTCTCCACTGTTGCGGTGCCTGCTTGCCTAGTGCTAGACTGAATCCTTTGCACTCTGAACGTGGGCAGAAGGATACGTGGACGAATTCGCGATAGTCATAACTGGCCAGATTAGGAAGGTCATCTGTGTCCTCACGAGGCACCTGCACATTGGGCTTGTAGGAGCTTCTTGTTAAAATGAAAAAGTTCATTTTTAAGTATTTGATATTGAGTTAGGACAGTCATCTGGAACCGGAGAGGAGGTGTAACTTAGGCTAAACAGGATCCTGTCCTTTATTGAGAGGAGCCAGGCTCTGAACCTAATTGTGAAAGAAAGGCGGTAGGAACAATGGTCCTTTGGTGTGCCCAAGTGCTGCCTGGTCGAGCTCCCCTTATGAATAGAATAGAAAGGGCTTAAGAGCATTCAAAATCATGAAAATAATAGGCAATACCAAATGAAATGCTTTATTCACAAATTTTGTATTTTATGTAAATTCTAACAGAAAACTACCCTAACTATTGCTTCTTAGGCACAGCAGATCGAGCAAATACAACAACCAACGGCTTCTCTTTCAAGACATATCCGTTAGTCTCTTTCAAAGCTCTTTGTGCCATTTGCACAGAGTCAAGTGTAATAAACGCCTGGCCCTTCATTTTACCTTCCTGCATTAACCTTATGTCAAACTGACTTGGATGATCTTCATCGCTATTACTTTCGATGTACCGTCTAAATATAAACTCTAAATCCTTAACCTCGACCGTTTTTGCAATGTTCTTAATATACAACCTGCATGTCGGCGCACCCGGGTGATAATTTTTAAACACCGCCAGCACACTCAATTCCTTATCTGGTATTTTATTCAAACTAAGATCTTCGTCACTAATCACAGAGCTAACGTTGTTGGTTGTTTCGCTTACATCCTCCACCAGTGGAGGTGACTTTGTAATCGGTTCCATAATACCGATCGAGCCAACATCTTCCGTAATAGGAACAGTTTTATTCTCCAAACTATCCGCGGATACTTTCACTTCAATTTTCTTTTGGACTTGCATGTCGACCTTCTCGAAGACATCCTCGGTTTTATTATCAATCAGCCGCGCCTGCTTCTCGATTAAGCTGGGCGGCTTTATAAACTTCGGACGTTTCACCGCCTTCTTCTGGGTCATCTTTCGCTTTTGGGGGATTATCTCCTTGATGTTACTGGTTTCCGGGTCACTTTCGAGTTCGGACTCTGAACTGTCGGTTTTCAATTGTGTAGGTTGTTGAGACGGTTGTGCGACTCGCTGGACGGTCTGCGGCGGGTCTGGAACATCGGAAAATGGAGGGGGTAGATTCATTCGATTCATGAGATGTAGAACTTGCGTGTAAAATTTCGGCACAGAGAGCAAAGCGTGCGCAATGTTGTTGATTGTGGCACGATTCGGTTGTGGATATGCATACTTTAGGTGGGGCGGAGGAGGCTGGTTGAACGATACGGAGCTGTTCAGCGCGTTTAATCGATTCAAAAATGATTTGAAGTGTGTTGTGTTGACCGGCTCGGAGGTTCTAATTGGCTTTTGCCGTACCTTGTTTTCTGTTGGATCCTGATCTGCAAACTCAATACAGAGTCTCGAGTTTAGAATGGAGACCTGATGTAAACGCAACATTACACTTTTCGCAACTTCTTTTGAGGTAAACTTGGCATAAGCTGTTGATTTCTGTTTAGCGTGAGAGGTTAGTATTTTGACTTGACTAGCGCCAAAGTGGCGAAGGAATTCTTCCTTTTCTGAATTCGAAAGGTCGTTTGAAAGGTTTTTAATTCGTAAAGTGTCATCGCAAACCATGTTTAAAACTTTAAATCTGAATTGCAACTATTACTGTTCTGTGATTGCAACTGAAACCAATGATTGTGGTTATGTACAATGTACAGATCAAATAGCCTACTTTAGGTTTAAAGGAACTACGCATGTGAGATTATTACTACTTTCAAATTTTAAATATTATTTTTTACAAATTTTTATAAAATATTTAACTTTATTTATTTATAGTTGCTCTTATCCATTTCTCTGCCTTCATAAAACATACATAAAATAGGAATGTAACAAATTATTAAGTATTCTTTGCTATTAGATCAAGGAGCATGTATTATGATCCAACATTTAAGAAGATATTTTAATCTTTTTAATGAATGTCTTGCTCGCAGATATCTGGCATGTACCTATAAGACACTTGGACTTGTTTAAGAGTGTTCAACATTTTTTTCTAAAATACAGAACTTTTCATTACGAGACAGGCCATTAAAAGCAATTGAAGCAGTCGATATGTTTTGTAAATCGCCAAAAAGCCCCTCTACTTTTGAAACTTTTAGATTTAGAGGAAAAGGTAATGTATGGCATTTAACTTGAAAAAATATTGGTAATACTACTTTTACATTAGAAGAAGTTCACGCGGTTCAAGTTTATAGGATTTTCTTTCATCAGTAGTTAAAACTATGGTGCTCGGGAAAACTGACTGCTACTGAACTGGAATAGGTTTCATAAAAGACGAAAATAAGCTCGATTTCAGAGGATTGTCTCCAAAAAAGTCAACAATAAATACCTATTCTAAAATCCAAAATTTTCTAATATATATGGTACTTTTTATTTCCAAGTCAACACAACAAAAATATATGGCAGTCTTATCTAGAACATCTCAGGATAATTCAATACAGTAACTTTTAAATTAACAATAAATAAACTTAACATTGACTATAATGACTGGAAATTAAGTACGAAAATCTGAGATTATCTTACATGTACCTTCATAGGTGGCAAAGTGCATTGCAGTTGTAAACACCGCCTTCCAAAGACTAGGATATAAACCTTTAAAAAGAGCAAAAGGTCCTTCTGTTCTTAATATTTTCCTACAACAGTCGATCATTCCTCTACAAGAAAACACAGCACCGAACTCCTTACGATGCTCATGTACCCCTTGAATTTGCATTCTTTTTTTTACTAAATCAAATGGATATATAAGAGTTTTTGCAACCAACCCGGCTAAACTCCCCGCTACCAAATTACCTGGAAGTGTATAGGTATTCTGAGCGATATTGAAAAATGCACGATACATATTATCGAAAACCCTATAACTGAGAAATTGCGCACCAGCATGCGGTGCTACTTGAATAAAAGTCGGTAAAATACCTCTGTACAATACCAAAATACTTTCATTTTTTAAAATGTATCTAAAAGCGTCAATTACTCCAGAATACAACCTTTTCTTTTCCCCTTGGGCTACTAATCGTGTCCGAACAACATCAAAAGGAAATGATGCAAGTGTAGCGCTACATCCTGCAATCGAACCACAGAGGAAAGTCACTATAGGCTTATACCTAGTGTCTAACGGAAGCAATTTCGATTGATTCATTAAAGTATCAAAGCACCAAAACTGTACCATCCCGTAGGTGATCGATAACAACTGGGCCGGAACGTGCCCCTTCCATAATGCCTTCAGACCTTCCTCTTTCGCTATTAGGGAGGTGGCTTGCAAAATTGAGTGATACTTTGATGTCCTCCTGTACGAAATTGGCTCGACTTGCAGTTGAAACCGAATTTTGATGACATCCAACGGCTGACACGTAGCGCGAGTTAGGAATCCTGAAGTGGCGCCGGCTATTATTAAATCGTAATGGCGCAGTTTCTTTCCCATATTACCCTCATTTCACAACCTAGAATAAATTAACCAAATAATAATAGGGCTTTTCCTGCACACTTACATTCTGTACATTTCTGTAATTTTATACTGCAGAAGGATGGTAACTGATAGCCTTTAATGGATTCCCTTAATTGTTTTACACAAGTAATTTGTAATTTATGGAATATCATGGGCCAAATTTGGATTTATTCGAATTTATGTAATAAGTAAACAATTCGCCATTGACAGAAGTAAGTAGTTGCAATGTGCGATGATAGTAGTTCAAAAACAATACCAGTGGCGGAGTAGTTATAATCACATCCAGGGAAGGGGTTGCGGCACTCGCCGCCAAGTACATTTAACAGGTTCATGATTATATCTACATACACGTGGTGAAGATGAGCAGATGTGACAGACTTCGAATCCATCTTCTGAAAGTCGCGTGGCTGTCAATAAATGGGGTACCTAACAGTAGCCGTGATGGCTTCAGATCGCTCATTTCCAGGTTCATTAAGAGTTTTTAAGTCGTTTTTTAAAAAGTGTCATTATCATCCGTTTCGGGTAGCATATATAAAATGTGTCTGTCCGACTTGAGGGAGAATGTTGCGGTACCAAGTGGTATCGTTATCGGTCGTCAAAATGGAAAATTTGCGCCTTCTAGGTGGAGATTTTATTCCCATGCAGTTCAAAAATGTAAGCAGAGGTTATGGAAGCTATTCGGCGGCATGTGATTGATCAAAGTGTAGTATCTGTTCTTATCAACTTAATTATTATTTGGAATCGTCAAATACATGCACATGGACCGTTCCGTCCACATTTGTGCATTTTTTTACTTATGAATGAAGTATAGAGCGCCTATAAATAAAGTGTGGAACACTCAACCATTCACCAACAAGTGCTGTTTTTTTTATATGCCTTTGCCATGAACTTGTCATGTCAACTAATGAACGGTAGCATTGTCGCTACTATAAAATAATAAAGCATATGGCACACAAAAAATGTGTAAGCCCACACTTGGCATCCTACCTAAAGCTGTGGTATAAAATGGGTATAGGGAGCAGTCAAGGAACTCTGTAGAAGCCTAGGAATCAAAGAAAGTCCCGCCGTACTCCAATAGTCCCAGAAAGGAAAGAAAATCTGAGTAATTCTTCGCGATGGAACCGTCCAAACATGTATTTTTCTTACGAGTAGGACCTGATGCGCTGATTATCTCAATTATCGTGTAGCAGGGCGACCTACACCGTCCTACCAATAGGAACCTGTAAAATTAGGACACCAAACTTCATTTGGCAACTAGTAAACGCAAAAATTTGGTGTAGGCAAACATTACACGCATCGAAAAACTTTCCAAAAAAATGACATAGTGTCTACCCTTTGGCTACATCCCTATTGTAAAGTATTTCCAGACAAATTCACAGATACGCAAACATATTAAAATTAATACTAGCTATCATTTAGAGATCTTCATTTTTTTTCATATCATTTTTATGGCATCATACTTAGCACTCTCCCAAGGAGTAATTTCTTGCAGGCTGCCTTACTTTTGCGTCATTGCTGAGTCAGCAATTGCAATTAATTTGGTTTAATTCAAGTCACAAATACTAAGCTTGAGTCGTTATTTTCATTTTCGCGAATTCCCAGATACTAATACACACAAATCAGAATTTTAGAGGCACTTTTTCCAAATTTCAGAGTTTATTTGGAAAAATGTTTGAATTTTTTTACTTAAAGTGGCTTATTTAAATCCTACCTGAAAACTTTCACATATCATTCAGGAAATATATTGATAAGTAGCTGTACTCAGTCAATGCCAAAATTAGACTACAATAAAAGACCTTGGAGATAAACATGTGTTATAAAAACAGCTCACCTACTTTTAAAATATATATTGAACTGGTCCCCAAATGATAACAAACCCACAGACCTAGGCTTAGTACATATTAATATACACTTATATACATATTTATGTTGTATGGAGTAATTTCTTTGTACATTATTTGTTTAAAAACAGTTCATTTGAAACGTTAATCTTTTAATAGTCTCCGTATTAATATCATTAATCGATTAAGATAATCACATACAGTAAAAGGTCTGTCTTTTGTCATATTTTAGAGAGAGCAGTGCCAAACTCAAGTTTTTCCCGGGAAGGGGACACAAAACAAACAAATATATACTAGCACACGTTATACATGCAAGAACTAAAAACAAAATCCATCTTATGGAATTAAAAATATTGAAAATCACAAACAAAACTAGTAATAAACATACGCTTAACACTAACTATAAAACATTATTTTAAAAAAGACAGATTACAATCATAGCGATTATTTATATGTATGAAAATATAACTCGCATATTGTAGACATTTTTTCTATTAAAAAAAACTCTTTACATCTAATAGGTAAATTGCAATGCAAACAAAAAATAAATATAACTAACAGTGATACAAAAACAAAGCTACCATTACCTACACTAGTACGAAACAATCTAATAACTATTAAGTGTTTTTATTAACAATTCGGTTTTAATAAATGGAAAACTGATGGCAAGCAAATCACCTCATTACATCAATGAAGCAAATAGGTCGTGACATATTATGTAAAGTGTTATCAAAAATGCGGATAATGAAATGATTAGCACCCTTTGAAATAAACTCGGTAGATGCGCTATGTTGATCACATGAAGTTTAAAATGGAAGCGATGAGGGTTAATCCAGCATAAATCGGTCATTAAGCTCTGCTTGAGACATGGAAGACTTTAACCTATGATTGTATAGAACTTTTCACATAACAAACAGCTTATTAAAATAGACATGCAACATACATTAAGGCCTTTTAGTCACATTGGCACAATTTACATACATTTAATATAATTTCTATACATTTTTACAATAACTGGTAAAATCTGGAATGCTGGAACGTCAAGACTTTTTACAGTGCTCTAATGATGAATGATGTTAACTAATGACATAAGTCTTTTTTTCATGAGATCTGCTCTCATAACGCATTATGATTGTAATTACAACATACCTGGAGGGATTTCACAGCTGCTTCATCCAATTAATCTCTCCTCGACTTCTTCTTCAACTTCCTAGGCTGCTTCGCTTCAGCCCACACATCTACAAAGTAATTAATTTCCCAGCAACAAAATAACGGCAGACGCTTACCTCCCAATTCATCGTAAACCGGAGCCATCGGCTCGATCTCCTCAACCGACTTCTCCTTTTTCTCCGGTTCAGGAGGAACCTCCTTCTTCGGTTTTTCCTTCGCGACGTTCTCTGCCTTATTCTCCTTGTTCTCCTCCTCTTTCACGGGTTTCGGTTTCTTCTCCTTCTTAGGACTGTCCTGCTTCTTCTTCTTGTCGTTCTTCGATGGCACGGTCTCCCAGTTACCGTCGTCAAAGTCGGAGGGCTTTTCAACCTTTACATTCTTCTTGTTCTTCTCCTCGACCGGGTCGACTTTCTTCACTTTCACTTCGGCCTTCTTTTTATCGGCCGCCTTTGCCGAGTCTTGCTTCTTCGCCTGCTTTGGCGTGTTGGGTGCTTCCTTCGTCGGGGAATGCTTCGTCTTTTCGCTCTTTGTCTCGGATACGGGGATCGCACTACCGTTTGCCGTTTTCTAAAATAAGCCGACCATATGTTAGTGGCAAATGTCGACGTTAATAAAGAAATTGTAGTTACCTTGTCTTTTACCTTTCGTTGTTTCTTTGCGCCCGCTTTTCGTTCATCGCCGACAACTGAAAGTTTATCGAATGATGGTTGTTCAGATGGTTTAAAGCCAAAGGTAAATAGCAGCGTTAAAGTAACAAGTACCAACGCTACAGGTATGTATAACGCAAATTGGTTGTTAACCAATTCGGTAATTAGCTCCATTGTCGAACTTATCTATAATTAAAGTGGAAACAGGAACACCGTGAGTTAAATGTGTTAATCCAATCAAGCAATTTTGGTGACGCGGCCGTGACGCAACACAAAACAGCACATTTGTACTGTGCGCATGACAAATGAATCCAATTCAATCTAATACCAACTTAAAACGAAACGAGTTAGTGACTTTCATTTTTCACTACATCGAAGACCACAAACGGCGCTCAATTTGAAATTATGACCACAGGACACATGTAGATGGACACGACAAGGAAAGCAAAAACGGAATCGGGTAATCAAAGTACAAAACTCACGAGATAAAATTAAACACGCTTTTATCTTTATGAACTGGTATATTACAAGAAAGTTGATCAAATACTGATAACTATTGAACGCGATAGTGTTCTCACTATCTCTACATGAGGAACGTAGTGTTTTGATTTGAAATAAATAACAATGAGTCAAAATCGTGGTCAAAATATATATTTTATTTTTCGACTAATGTCCGTTTGCACCAATAAATTTAAGCGGAGCTTAGCGTAAAGGCGGCTCCACACGCAACGGAAAAACCGAATGCAAGCCTTGAGGCGAACCTAAATTATAGGGGGTCTTCACACACTACGGAATATACGAAGGCCAGCCTTAAGGCACGCCAGTTTCGCGCAAAAATGACGTCGACAGATAACGTTCTTCCTGTTGTTGGATTATTGTTAGCTGTCGAAAGTAATAAAAAAAGAGTGAAGCGAAAGTTCTGGACTAAAGACTGGTTACAGAAAATGGAATGTTACTTCCATGTAAATTTATTAAAAGACCTGAGGTTCAGTCCGAAAGATTGGCACAATTATTTGCGGATGGATGAGGACACATACTTAAGGCTCTTATCATTGGTGACGTCGATCATTTACAAAAAGGACACCATAATGAGGACCGCAATTACACCTCATGAAAGATTGAGTGCCACATTACGATTTCTGGCTATAAATTCCTCTTGTTTTTGCTTTGCACACAAAACTACACCGTGTGTCAATATGACATTAAACAAAATATATATTTCATATGGAAACTCATATTTCTTCTTAAAAATTGTTTAATTTTAAATGTGTCTATGGCCAGGTTTAGTGGTTGACACACGGTATACGTATAGGGTATAACGGAATCGCCTCAAGGCCTACCTCCCATCCATCCACACAATACGATCGGCCTTGGGGCGCTATAAAAGAAGAGGCAAATCGAATGAGATTTTGTATCGAAATTTCCGGCCTCCAGGCGTCAGATGCGCAGGAAAACCTCAACAGAATTCTCCATACACACATAGAGGTTTTCCTTGAGGTCTTGCGCCTCGAGGCATGTCTTCGGTTTTTCCGTTGCGTGTGGAGCCGCCTTAAGCCTAGCTTAAAATCCATGGCAAAGATTATTGAGACAATGGTTGTCATGGATTTTAAAGCCCCGCTTAAATTTGTCGATGCAAACGGCCATTAGCCCCGCCAAAATTCAACGCACACTTAGCCAGTGTTTCTCCAATCTCGTCCAGAAATCCTCGAGCTCCTAAAAATAGGTGCTCAGGCGCTCTATTAACTCGTCGTTTATATAGAAAATGTGTCTCATTTGGAAATGTGAAAGTCTGACAGATCAAAGCAGGTGGATAGGGAAGGGTGGGGGGCGTAATTCATTAAAATCGCGAATCGATCAAGGAGAGAATCGACACAGGAGCCGTTTCCAAGATGCCTAATGGTTCTCTCCGACAAACTCCTAGCCCAGCAACTATATCTTGACAAAATTATAAACAAATGATAATTCATTTAAATAGGAACAAATGTAATCGCATGTAGTTATCTGAGATTAGTAAATGAAATATGAAAGAGAGATGTAACCCTTTTTTAGCGCATTTCCACAAAAAAAAAATGCGCTATTGTGGCCACTTTGTCCGTCCGTCCGTCCGCTCGTTTTGCGACGCTACTAGTTCTTTATCTTAAGAGCTATTGTTCTACTTTTTCCGCTATTTGGTTCGTTATGGTGTCGAGTCTTGTACCAAGGAAGGAATTTTTTCTGTACCGCTTACAAAAAAAGGTATTGTAAAAAAACACAAAAAACCGTTTTTTACATGTTCCATAATTTTACACTTTTGCCGTTTATTAACGATCCTAGAGATCGTTTATAATTTTGCATTGCTATCTGTCGTCTGCCTGTTGGTCTGTCCGTCTGTTCCTTTGTCTGTCTGTTCATCTATCTGTCCGTGTGAACGATAACTTTGTTTAGAAATGTTCGATCGCTTTTACATCTCCGTTAGTTATGAACTGAATTGCATGAAATGCAATATGGGCATAGCTTTAGCCATATTATAATACGCAATGCCAAAAGTTGGATCGAATCGATTCAAAATTCACAGTGCCCTTTTCGCATCTCGACCATTTAACAATTGCAAACTTTTTTGCTTATAAAAAGTAATTTGAATGAATAAAAAAGGTTCTTTTCTTTCGGCCTCTTGCGTGTGTTGAAGTGAAAGGTTTTGTAGGTGAGTAGGCTCAAACCAGCCTCGTTTAGTTTATTTTTAATTGGTAATCCAAATATTTCGGACGCAGTTTGCTGTCCTTCCTCAGTGGGACCACTGGTAAAAGGTTAACGGTTAGCAAAATAAAATTAGATAAACAGACAAGCTTACAATTGTGTGCACTAAACACGTCGTTAACAAAATGGTGTGGACGCCTCCATTTCTAGGTGAACAGATATTACATCAACAATTACTGAACAAACACATTAAAATTTTTTGGGTAAAAGTAAATAAATAATGTCATAATTAAACTCTAGAATTACAATTCAATTTACCTGAGACCCAGACGTATAAAATGTCCTGATACTGAGCTTGTCTGTTTATCTAATTTTATTTTGCTAACCGTTAACCTTTTACCAGTGGTCCCACTGAGGAAGGACAGCAAACTGCGTCCGAAATATTTGGATTACCAATTAAAAATAAACTAAACAAAGTCTGGTTTTTTGAGCCTACACACCCTACGAATCTTCACTTATTTGAATGAAATTTGATACATAGGCACTTGGAATAAAGGAAAATCAAACGCCAATTTCAAAATTTGGTTTTGCGCATGCGCAGTGCCAACTTTTTTTATTTATGGAAGAATTTAAACGAAATTTGATACATAGGCACTTGGGATAAAGGAAAATCTAGCGCCAATTTCAAAATTTTATTTTGCGCATGCGCAGTGCCAACTTTTTTATCTATGGAAGCATTTAAGTGAAATTTGGTACTTAGGCGCTTGGAACAAAGGAAAATCTAAGATTAGTTTCAAAATTTAGGTTTGCGCATGCGCAGTTCCAACTTTCTTATTTAGAAAAGCATTGAAATGAAATTCTTCTCATAAACTGAAATTGAAGTAGCACGTCAAAAATGGATTGCCCATGTGCAACGCTATCTTTCATATTTGTGGCCGGATTTTAACGATTTTAACAGAAGTTGCAACTTACAAATGGGAAATGAATGCAAGTGGAAATGCGCTTTATGTAAATCGTTTACGATTACTTTTTAACTTGTTTTAGATCATAGCAGTTCCTTACGTTTTACAGTAAATTTCAACAATGCCTTCAGTAAAAATGATTTAAGGTATGTATCACTTTTAAACGACTGCATTTACGATTCTTAATTTTACTATATCTTCCTGAAAGAGCAATGTTATTAAAATAAATAAATGGAAACTATTGCAAATAATTATCTTTGATCAAAATTTTAGTTTGACTGCAATTTCTAGTAAAAAGTAGCGACGAACGATCAACAAACAGATAAAAAATTTACACTATAATAATAAATATATCAATAACTAAAACATTGAATGTTAATGCAATGAAAACTCACCAACAATTATTAAAACTTTATTTTGCAAACTGTATGTATAAATTTCCATTACAACGTGATACATTTTTATAAAATCTCCTACAAAACTCATTTGAGCAAAACAAACTGGATGACAAGCGTATTCGAATCCTTATAATGCACCATTATATTCAGAATTAATAAGAAATTATGGTTTCTCCCCAGAATTTTTTTTTGGTGATTTCGATTTGGACTTTGATTTCCCTCGCCCTTTTCGTTTACTTTTTTTACGCTTTGAACGCGATTTATGCTTGGTTTTCTTTGGCTTCTTTTTGTCTTTCATAAAATCGATATTTACCTGCTTGGTGGGTGACGCAACTGGACTTTCCGCAATTCGCGTGAAATATTCGTAGCTGAACTTCGTACAAGCCTTACCTGCAATTAAGCAACTAAATTTCTAATCCGCACAAAGCGCCTTTTACCGTTACAAAAGTCTTCGCCGCACTCCTTACACGAAACCACACGCATCTCAACCACACCGGCCTTGTTTTTCGTTTTTCTAATTTGTGGATCGGTGGCAAACGCTCGTCTATCACTCGCCGCGGTTTTCAATTCCATTTTCCCCAGCTCCACCAACCTACGGCGATAAGTACTAAGTCTAATTCTAAACTAACACTTACCTACTAACCTCGAAAAAAAGTCTTCATCGACCTTTGATTTGGGTCGAATCGTCGTTAGCATCTTCCAATCGATCGTAATCGTAACCAAATCGGCCAGCTTCAAAATTCTCATTTCGGGCGGGATGGGATTTTGAAACAAGTACGGTTCCTTAAACACCTTGTAGTCCTTCTTCCCCGTCTTGAACTTAAAATCCTTGTCCCTGATCTTGATATCTTCAACGCGAACCTTCTCCGCTTTCATCTTAAAATCGGGCACCTTATCGTAGAGCCTTCTAAACTCTTCTTTGTTGGTGGGTATCGATTTTGACAAATCTAAGATGGGGGCCGCCTCCTTCTTCTTTCCAAAAATGTCGTCTAATTTCGCCATCTTTTGATTATGTATCTAAGCAGTCAATAATTATATTTGGTGTATTCTACAACTGTCAAGTGCTGTATAATAATTGATAGTAGGTAATTGTTATAAAAAAATCTTATTAACTAATTTCGTTGGTTCTTGATGGGGACGAGTAGCTTGTGGTACGAGGTGAATGTTGCCACAGCTCTTGTTTCATAATCAATCCGTTGTGCAGCGAATTCAATTTCTCTAACACTTCGTTGTCAATAATTGACGATGGGCAGTCGGGTAGGCAACTGTCGTTCCCTACTTCCCTGGGAGAATCCTCTATCTTCAAGATGTCAACCATTTTGATTTCGTCGCCGTATTTATGTTTTTGGGATCTGCAGTTACAGCAACACTTGATACAGTCTGACTTCTTGTAGTAAATGTGATCTTTATCCGATTCGAGTGGCACGATCTCCGTTTGATAAACGCGAAAGTTTCTCGAAAACATCTGCCCGTTTTTCTGCCACAGCGCTCGCGTACGCCTCTTTTCTATGTATCCCTTTGTCCTGTAGGATCGAGGGGAGCCGGTTTGGCTATCGTCGCTCGAATGGGGGGAGTAATTGTTGTTTTTGTCATCGTAAATTTTGACCTGTCGTATTTTTTGGCGAACTTTTTTCCGGTGGTAGAAGGGATCTTTTTCGCTTTGTTTTAAGTAACGGGTCGGAGGTCGATTTGCGCCCCATTTAGGTCTGTCCGTGTGACTTTCGCGTTGTCGTTCGCTATTCTTATTTCTGTCTTCTTTTGGTTGCTTATCGTAGCTCACGTCTAGATTTACTAGCTTTTCTCGAATATACTTTATTTCTTTAGTCTGGTCCGATGGGAGTTTTGACGGGTAGTCAGTTTGAGTACTGCTATCACACAAATTTTTATTTCTGTATAAAGATGGGGTTAAAGTCCTATTTTCAGTTCGAGGTCTTGGAGTTTCGGTAGTCTGTACCGATGTAGCCACTGGCAGTGGGGTTATTGGTCCTGGTGTAAAAGTTGGCATGAGTATAGCAAAAGGCATGGAGTATCCTTCAAAAGGAGTTTGAAGCACCATGGTTACGTTGTCTTGAGTAGACGGAGGTTGCGTTATTGTATGTGTAGGTGACACTTGTTCGATTGGTGGTCCTTGTTGAGTGCGATTAATGTTAGTTTCTTTAAGTGGTGGTGACTTTGCGTTATTCATTTGTGTGTCATTGTGCACCCTGGTACTCTCCTCGAGTGCGGGATCTTCTTTTATGTCTACGAGATTATTTTGTGCTTTATGACTGTTATAATTCGAAATGGGTCGAGATGGCACTTTCTCCTTTTCGATGACATTCTCACTAATGTTCAAATCCAGCTGCCTCAACATCTTCTGCTTTCTCTTCTGCTCTTGCGCTTCCTTTTCTGCAATGTGTATTGCCTCCTCGAGCGCTTCCTTTCGCTTCCTTTCCCGCTCGTGTTTCTCTAATATAATTTGATTTTCATACTCTCTGCGTTTACGCTCAATCTCCTTGTCACGTTCAATGCGTAACTCCTCCTCGCGTTCTTCAATAATGCGCCGCTCCCTTTCAAGCTGTCGCCGCGCTTCCCTTTCTTCTAATTGTTGTTTAATGGCCTCCTGGTGAGCTTTAGCCAACTGGCGCCTTTTCTCTCTTTCCGCTAACTCGATAGGATCGACTGGATTATTTTGGCCTCTGATGTACGTTCTAAAAATTGCCTGTATTATAAAACGCTATACCATCAGTAAATACTCACCGAGTTTGGGACACGGAGGAGCTGGTATATGGACGTTGCTCTCCATAATCTTGCTCAGGCGATTCAGCAGGGGAGGAATTCGATACTACCAATTCAGTATCACCTTGCAGACCTCTCTTCACCCAACCAGGAGCGTCTCTCATCTCTGGACTGTACTTTATTTCGTGGGGATCCCAAAACCTTCCAATACCGACTCCTCGATCGCCCCACTTCGCTCTATCATCTCGAGCACTCGAAGAAGACTCATACCCTAGGTTTTGATTCCAACTTGCTTGCAAATATTCGGGAACGTGGTTAGCGCTATCGCTTCCGTACCCGGAGGTTTCTCCTCCCATTTCTTTTTCAAATTTTTCATTCGAGCTAAAGTTGTGTGTTCCCGTTTTATCGGTAATTGGCGGTAAACTTTGTCTCCTACTCGAAATCGATTCGCGTCGAATAAATGCATTTGTTGCTGCAGAATCCACCTTTCTTATATTTCTCGTTCTAGAAAAGAGGTTTGCCGACTTTCTATGAGTATGTCTAAGTGGTATGCTGGGAAATTTTGCACGAGGACTTGGGCTTCGTGCGTAATTATACACCATGCTGTAGTTAAGTAGTACATTCGTGACGTGAAATGGAAATTAAGTAATGGATACGTTCTTGTCAACATTAAACTGGCACAAAAGGTTCAGGTATCAGGCATACGTTTTACAATTGAGATTTTTTTGTGCGCGGATGCAAAGCAAAACATTCTCACCTTGAATCCTCGTCAATGCTTTTAAAAGTACAGTTCCAAGGTAGCGCTAATCCTGCCAATTCTTCTGTAACATTTTCGGCCATTAGGATGCTGGCGCGAGCACTAATATTTGGCTTACCTTTTTCGCGTGCCCACTGTTGCTTCTTCTTTTCTATTAGCGACAGAGGTTTGTCAACAAAAGTTGACATTAGGATCTGTAGAAATTGAGAAAATGTTTTAACATTTTAGATAGGTACCGTGCAAAATTATTAATTTTCTTGATTTTAATCCGGGGGGTAAATTTTGAAGTGGGGGCCGCGCATAGACAAAATGGATCACTCCCTTAGAGATGGCAAAAATGCTCGCCAATTCTTTCACCTTGAACGAGTAACAAAATGTTCACGATTTCGTTTCTAATTTTTTGAAACCGCTACGTCCTATGCCACTGAGTGGCTTTTACTATTTGTATGGGAAAATCCTATAGACTCAAAACCAACGTTTTGCTGACCATCTTAGGGTTACATTAGGGAAATAGAAAAGTGAATAAAGTTGGAGAGACCGGTTCCACAAGGTTTTTCCTTTTGGGATATCTGAAAGGACAGTATATAATGTCCCCAAATACTATATTTGGGCAAACCTCCGCTTATAGCTCAAAATCAACATTCTGGTAATCCTTTCTTTCGGCAAAAAAGGGATTGGCAAAGCGTAAAGATTTAATTGTTGTAAACTAATTATTTTCCGATTGTTTGAAGGGAAACTTTTATTAGTTGAAATAATTAAAGCGGCACGGAAAAGTAAAATCAATGGGTCCTTAATCTCTTTAAAGATTTAAAGAACAGTAACGGAATGAGCAAAATGACCCCATTCGCCCACTAACTTTGAAAAATAAACGTATAGTAGTGTGATGCTTTCAATCATATCAATTTTTTTTATTTCAATCTATGAATTATGGCAGCAAAATAATAGAATAGGTCGAAATATTTGTCCTCCCTAGAATCCTAGTGCAATTCGATAAGATCCGGGTTAATGTTTATTGCATTCACCCAATCGGAAATATATTACTTTCAAGAGGCAATGTCATATGTAATTTGAAAACAATCAAAGGTGAATGTACTTGTTCAAGTAGAACTATACACATACAATTGATTTCACGTAAAATATATACCTTCATTGATTAAAATTAAGAATAGGCATTTGAGTATAAGATCACTTTCTAAAAATAATTTGATCATGAAGAAGATTTTCATGCGGCGAATCCCAAGATGAGGTCACCATATCGCAAATGAGGCAAAATGGAGTGCGAATTGAAATTTGTAAAATAATACCAGTTTTCTATTAATTAAGTATGTAGGTACAACAAAAGTGCATCAAAGATTTGATGATTTGCAAGAACGAAACCTTCAAACAGTGCAAGAAGCGAAAGCAGTATCGTGACTTACCGAGCTGTTTATCTTACGACCACCAACAAGTAATTAATAAACCCACCCCCATCGATTTATATACCACCTGAACCTGCATAATTAGCTTACAACAAACATTACCTTGAAATGCGAGTGAAATTAGTGAAACTGACGTAATATTAAGAAATCCAGAGGCACCATTGCGAAGAAACGGGCATTTGATCGATGTCATCGCCATGGATACGTCTACGCAAACAATTTTAGGTGAATGCCCTTCTTGTAATTTACCCGTGGTATAACTATACGGCTGTTTACATCATGCATTATTTAATCGCAATTACACTTTGGGCAATCAGTGAAAACCCCTCGAATAGATAAGCACAAATTCTTCCGTGTAAAGGCGATTAAGTAGGAAAATGGGATTTTGGAAACTTCCGCCCTAAACTATTTTTAATAAGGGTGGTAGGTAAGTTCGTGTGCCGAATAACTAAAAGTGGTGCAACCCGAATTTTGAAATGGAATTGGGTTATTCGTGCAAATAAAGACTTCATAAATCAGTTTTATACATCTTTGGCGTTGACGCCTTACACGTATGAGAAATATACGAGCACGCATTTAAAATGCGTACATCTAATGGAAATATGTATAAACATTCCAACAGTACACGGAATAATTCAATACCAATGGGCTATTTTGCAAAAACAATTGGTCGTGCTTAAATAAGTTATTAGCAGTTGGTTTTACAGCGTAATTATTCGACGCCGTTCTTCAATTTTACAGTGCTATCCCCACAAGAGTGGTAAAATTTGGATTTCTTCTTTAATTTTTTTCTCAGCATCCATAAGAGTTACAAAGATGGGTGACAGGTCTTTGAATAGGGGACGGGTATGCCCTATCCGATTTTGAAAACATTTTTTCAAAATTCCTACCACGAAATTAAGTGCGCACTCCCACTTGGGGGAGAGAAAAAAAATTGTGATTTCGACGAGATTTGGTATCTGTGGGGGTTTTTGAACATGAAAATCACGAATCTGGAATTAGTTTTTGAAAATTCGAATAAAAAGTTCCACTTCAATTCTTGACTGAACGAAAATGCAGAGAATTCCACGAAATTTGTTGTGTACATACATGATGAGTTAAGGAACAAAATTGTCGAAAAGTTTTTTTTAAATCACTTTCAAAAAAAAGTACTCATTTGAAGGTTTGTCCTTCGGGTTACAAAGTCTCCCGCCTACTAGTAAGTGATCTAATTTCACACGTGTTAATTGAAAATGTCGCAAATAACAAAAAAAATAACGATTTACGTCGATATTACGATACTTGCAATAATGCTAATTGATTGTAAAGGAACTCTACTTAAAAAGCATTTTCCCACCACCCGCAGCCACGGAATTTTTGGAATCGAATTTGCAGACTTGAATACCATGATCGACATATCGCATTTTTTGTGAACATTTGATCATATTATCGACTTGAGGACACAAACACAAAATTCCTCATTTTTGGAAGTATTTGTGCGAAATATGCTCACTGATGAGTCTTAAAATGCTAAGCAACCTCTACACGGTGTCCATTTTTCGAGTGCCACTATGGGGATCTCGCTTACCTGTAGAGATAGAGAGTTGGTTAAATGGGGGCAAAGTTGGGAATTTTCGTGCTGAATAATAATCTGAAAGGAAATTAGAAATATTTTTAGTAGTTTTGAAAATATCGCAAAAAAAACAAAAATGTCTGACCTTCGTTTTTAATTTTTTCATGGTAAACTAATCATACTAGACATTTCTAATTATCACATTATTCAGACACTTTTTAATTTTTTGGGAAGAGTGCTTTGGAAAAACAAAACGTTCTTTTATCGTGAACAAAAGTTTGACAGTTTGATCCATCTGTCTGGTTGGAGCGTTGGCAGGGAACTAGTTGTGTTGAGAAAATTCGATTTTCATCTGAATAGAATTGAACCTTCGTTTTGCAAGCAAATTATAATTCAAATTAGAACAAAATACATAAGAATAAATAATATTTTCGCAATAAATCTAGCACAAACGTAAATCACACTACTTGAAATAAGTCAACCTTTTGTTTACAACAAAAGAACGTTTGGTTTTTCCAAAGCACTCTTCGAAGAAAATGAAAATTGTAATTTTAGGAAAAATGCGTTACTGAACCACCATGTGTGATATATCGTTGTAAAGAGAAAAAAAGAAGTAATCTCAAAATGTCAAAATCCAAAACGGCGCCCATAAGAAAAATTAAAGTTGCCACGTGTTTCTCCGTCCTCTTTAAAAGTTATTGAAAACGGGATGCCATATTCGAAATCTCCATTAAAAAGTGTCTAAATAATGTGTTAATTAGAAATGTCTAGAACGATTAGTTTACTATGAAAAAATTAAAAACGAAAATCAGAAATGTTCTTTTTTTTGCGATATTTTCAAAACTATTGAAAATTTCTTTTCAGGTTATTATTCATCACGAAAATTCGCAACTTTGCCCCCATTTAACCAATTGCCTATCTCTTAAGATAAGCGAGAACCCCATAGTGGCACTCGAAAAATGGACACCGTGTATATACGATAAAAATGGGTCTATTAATATATTGGTACTTTTTTGAGCTGAATCAAACATCTTTTCGCTTTTTTCGCCTTTTATAAAATTTCAATGACATAAAAACAACCCTAACTACATTGTCACAACAATCAAGCAACAACAAAATTGCATAACAATAAAACAATTTAAAAAAACGGAAATTGCTAACAAAAAACATCGGTAATAGGTCCGTAAATTTTAATTTAAATAGCGAAACGTGACTTGGAGTCCAAGAAACCTACGAATTTGCAGAAGTCAAGAGAACTGTATATCAAAAATCATGTGTTTCGTACTTCTTTTCAAAGTTCTCGAGTTAATATACAGGGGCGGACTGGGTACTTAAGGGCCAGGTGGAATTGCATAGGTTACGGGCCAAGTATTAGTGTAGTAATGAAGGTGGCGGGGGGGGGGGGGGGTTAGCTCTGAGGTGCACCACAAAAACAGTAGGCCTTTCTCGAAAATCAATTACCATACTGTTTTTTTTTAATTGCAGCTGATAATTAAAAGTAATAAAATATACAATCCACACGAGGTGCGTCGCCTATCATTGTATTTCAGCACTTTCATGCTACGACAAAAAATGATAAATTCATTGTAAAACACTTCAATTAAAACAGAATTTTTTAACAACCTAACATCAACCCCAATTAGAGAAACGTGTTAATAATTTATTAATAGTGCAAGAAACTAAATACAGCACATACTTATAAATTTCCAACGGGCCATTATGATCTACAGGCCAGGTGGCAACCGCCACCCGCCCCCCCGGGTCAGTCCGCCCCTGTTAATATAGGCTTCCGGACAGACGGACAGAAAGTATGTTTCTCATTTAAAAAATCAGTGTAAACTGTAGAAGAAAGATGCTTCCAAAGCGTCCTACCTATCTAAGCTAACCCCTCTTCAGGGTCGTAATTAACTCGATCGCTGACCAAAATGGTCACAAACGAGTGGTTCTAATCCCAAAAAAATAATCTTCAATTCCTGTGGGATAAAAATCACAATCTGTAAAATTTCTCATTCACCATCGACCTGCTCGTCACACCACAACCACCTCCTACCAGAAACTCCAAAATAATCGACATTCAAAAGAAAAGTTCAACCATGTATTTCTCAACTCTACAGTGAACGGACTCCCGTTACATTTGTGATTTCCTCAGTATCCTTTATTTGAAGAGCGCCTGCTAAAATCAACGTCTAAAGAGACAGCCGAGCGCATTTTAAATTCTGCACAATTCTGCGCGTTTTTCCGAGGTTTTTTAATTAATATTTGAAGAATTTCTAGAAGTGTGAACAACAGCTTTATCAGGTGCCAAGGAAAAAACAAAATTACTACCTATTTAGATCGAGACTCTTTACCTATAGCAAGTCTCCTTCCGTCCGCCTACAAATGTGAAACAAATGGAAATGCAAGTGCCAAGAATACAGAATATTGGCACAGAGATTGTCCGCTTGTAAGGAAGATAATAAAAGTCAATGACATATCTTAATTAACATTCGAAGAAGACTCAACCATAATTAAATATGTAAAAAAATTCGGCAAAATCGTGAACTTGACCGACTCACGTTTGCCTCGCTGACCCACATTCATGAAACTTGCTCAAACGCTACCGCATTCCTTAGAAATGCGGCAAGTACGTCGAATAATGGCATTCAGATCTAGCAGTGCATCTTTTACATATGCACGCGATGAAGAAAGTGCTCGAGATTTTCGTGATGACAATCGTAACGAGCAGTGCAAAAGTCGTATTGCCGCAAGTACCGGACGTTGTGCATCCTCCAGTTCCTGAAGATGGTGTGCGCTATTTTATTTTACATATCGCACATCTCAATTTTTGTTTCAGCCCACTTAGATACTACCGATAGTTCTTTGATTGAAGATCAAGATCCAGAGGTGAGACCTGGACTGTTTCAAGGAGATATCGCGCTAAATAATGAAGTGTATAAATATTGGCGCATCGGTTTGCGTTGGGACGTCTTCCCGGACAAATTGTGGACTAACGGGACCGTACCTTACGTGATTAGTCCTATTTATGGTACCTATACCCTGAAGAGTAGGTAATAGTCTTAATCGCAATGCTTTTAGAACCCGCCGATCAAGTTACAATATACAAAGCGATTAGAACGATTAACTTCATGACGTGCATTAAATTTGTTCCATGGGACGGTGTAGCCAAGGACTACATTTTAATATGGCCGATCAAATATCCCGCAGGTTGTTGGTCGTTTGTTGGAAAATTTGGAGGCTCGCAAATTGTTAGCCTGCAACCGCCCGATAGGAACGGTCCCAATTGTCTTGGTACCGAAGGCAGAGCAATTCACGAGCTAATGCACGCTTTAGGGATCTTTCACGAACAATCCAGATGGGACCGGGATAAATTTGTTAAAGTTCACCACGAGAATATTATTCCAAGTACGTAATTTATCTCGCAGATGCGGTTACACTCATTCGCCCTTTTAGATTTTAAATCAAACTTTGACAAGCAAAGTCTTGAAAATACAACTTACCATTACGAGTACGATTACGACTCAATCATGCATTATGGAAAAAACTACTTTAGCAAAGCAAAAGGTAAGCCGACGATAACTGCAAAGATGCCAAACATTAAGCGTCTTGGACAAAGGAAGGCGATGTCAAAAGGAGACTGTCTAAAACTCAATCATTTATACAACTGCTTTGATAACCCGAAGAAAAAACGAAAATATTATAATTTGTGTCAATTTATGGGCTTATAAGTTGCTATTCTCATTAATAAATCACAATTCATTTACTATTCAACGATAGGTTCTGTTGCTTCTTGATGTACCATAGTGTTAGGTAAGTCCGTCACTGGATCGTACGGTTGATCAAAAATGTGGAATGGAATAAATTCAGACGGTACAGGCCATGTCAACTCTAAATGAAAGTTTAAACACAATAGAGTAACTTTGTCCTGTGGACTCACCCGTATAAGCATCTTCAACTGGAATGACTCCGTACAGATCAATGTACTGATCTAAACTCATTGTATGAGGTGAAGACAATAAAAACTCTATCAAGCCAAATTCTGGCAGACAATCCATCTCGAAGAACCCGTCATTTCTCTGGCAAGCTGCAAGCTTGTACATCTTCTGCACGCAATTATAAACGTATTTATAACTTCGACCGATATCCATACTGTCAGCATCTAATCGCTCTAATAAAGTTGGGGGCTTCCCAGTGACGGCCACCCATTCATTAAGAAACCTCTAAAACTAAACTTACTCCACCATAGTAATGAAGTAAATACCTGATTAATATGGTGATAACATATCAACATCTTCAATCTGGAGCAATGTGTCCGATACTCCACATTTTCCTTGAGCAAGATCAAGTGCTTTATTATGCTGTCTTCCGATCCCTACAACTAGTAGAATGCTACGCGACCATTTCAACAACGAAAACCATACCTCCAGCATATGACAGAAATATTTAGGGTAATGCAACAGTATTCCGCTTAAGTGCTCGTCGTTGTACTCATTATTTACCATATTAATAGTAGATTGCATAATGTCGCCGATAGAGGATCCCTTCTCAGCTGAGAGGGTGTGATCGCCAATATAAATTAGTCGATGCACGTAGTTTTTCTAAGGATTTTCATGCAATTAGTGTTGTGTCACTAATACGTACCCGTCCAGCCTCTTTGAAATTGTCTACTAATACATTTAGAAATGTTCTTCTAGCAGGTTCCACTTGGTGCGATGTGTCGTCTTCGGTCATCAGATTCATCTTTGATTGATCAATACCCGGTTACTAACGACAAAAGTGTCAAGCTGTCCAGGTTATTTGATTCAACCTTTTGAATTTCTTATTTCCAATAGAATTTTAGAATTCCTTTTTTGAAATACAGCTTGCAGAGGTTCTGAGATTTTTTAATTCAACAATTTCCGATATTCAAAAAATTTACTGATTTGATTAATGTAGATATATACATAATAGATAGATAAGTACATTAAATGAAATGTGTAACGCACTCATAGAGCAAATTAGGTTTAAGCATATTGTTTAAAAGTATTTAAACAATGGTTTAAGGTTCCACGATTATCGGCGAGGCGCGCATCAACGTTTCATTTGTCTACATGTCACACTAATTTGATGCAAAAGTCGCCTATTTACGCTATTTGCGATAACTTCAATTGTCTAATGACTAATCCACCACACAGATATATTTAACACCTCTTTGAAATCTCTACTGTCAGAAATGAGATAAAACCCGGTATTTTCTGTTTTCTTTTGAGTTGATGTTAAACTACGAATCTATGATTTTGTTACATGGTAAGGTTAATTAATTGAACTTAGGTGTAGTAATTTTAGTTACATTTGAAGTATACTCGCTATTCCCCTTACTTTATGTTTAAACTTTGTCCTGTATAATAATACTATCAAGGAACAAGTCTCTGTTCAAACAATGAAATACAGGGTGTTTTTTTGGGAGCTTTAGTTAAAAGTTTCTGGGAAAGTAAAATAGGTAGGTTTTTGAAAATTTGTACTTAGGAGTTACTCTGAAGGCCGAATCGATGCAAAATATTTTCAAAATGGCCACAACTAGTAACTTCGTTATTTTAAATGGCAACCCATATTTTTTATTGCATTTTTGGATTCTACGTGAAATTTCACTTCTTTTGATACCCAGATGTCGATATCTACCATTTATGGTTTTTAAGTTATTTTGACTTTATGAAAAAAAATGGCGGATGCAGATGGTACCTTGATAATTGATTACTTGAAAACGGTTGTAGTCATGGCAACCTATTTTTATCAGTGCATAGAGAATGAATAGGGCTTTCTTTTAGTGCACTTAAAAAAAAGTTATGTTGCATACGACCGCCCCTATGGATATCCAAATTTATGAAACTTCAAAGACTAAAAACTCAGTTTTTTTAAATGGAATGACCATGTTCTTACTATTCCATAAGATAGAGAATCGAAATGGGCATATTTTGACAATACATGTTCCTATAGCTATCTTTAACAGTTTCTGACTTATTCCCATTTTATTGATTTGACACTATTTTTTTCGGATTTTCTTTTTAGTAGTCGGCCATGATTCTATAACAATTGAATTTTAAACAAATCTAGTGACACTAATCCGTCACCTACTGTTATAGGTTAACATAGTTTTTCAAAAATCGAAAAATGACTCGCAGTGGTTACACCTTTTTTGGAATTTAATTGTTATTTATGGTGAAATGGGCAGAATCGCGGCGCGTGCTTTTCGTACATTCATTCGAAAACTGGAACGAAATTGTATGAATTTTGGAAATTTTGTACCCCTAATGCACTACAAACCGTTGAAGCACAAGTGATACAAAGCTCTACAAGAGAATATTTAAGAAAATGAATTGAATTGCAAATGCAAGATTAACAAAATAAATTCAATGCAAAATATAAAAAACTTTGTTGAAACATTTTTGGTATGGAATTGTTGCTAGAACAGATATCGCATTACCTTTCTGAATTTCCAGACTTATAAGTTGTTTAAGAAATTCAGTTGAACGACTCTGTTTAGATTTTTCAAAAATTTTCCGTCCTATATCCTTAATAAATGAGTTATTTATTAATGAATTATTTAGACTAGAACTAGAATCAATGGTATTAAAGAATCCATTCCTTGATTTGTTTAAAATTCGATTGATATAAAATCATGGCCAATTACTAAAAAGAAAATGCGAAAAAAAATGGCATCAATTCCGAGATCAATTCAATGAAATGGGAATAAATCAGAAACTGTTAAAGATAGCTATAGGAACATGTAATCTCAAAATATGCCAATTTCGATTCTCTATCTCATGCAATATTAAGAACATGATCATTCCATTTAAAAAAACTGAGTTTCTAGACTTTGAAGTTTCTTAAATTTGGATCTCCATAGGTACGGTTGTACGCAACTTAACTTTTTTTTAAGTACACTAAAAGAAAGCCCTATTCATTCTCTATGCACTGATAAAAATGGGTTGCCATGACTATAACCTTTTTCAAGTAATCAATTATCAAGGTACCATCTGCATCCACCATTTTTTTTCTTGAAGTCAAAATAACTTAAAAACCATAAATGGCAGTTATCGACATATGGGTATCAAAAGACCTGAAATTTCACGTAGAATCCAAAAATGCAATAAAAAATAGGGGTTGCCATTTAAAATAACGAAGTTACTATCTACTTTCGGTGTTTCCGGAAGTGCGGACATTTTGAACATATTTTACATACGATTCGGCCTTCAGAGTAACTCCTAAGTACAAATTTTCAAAAACCTACCTATTTTACTTTCCCAGAAACGTTTAACTAAAGCTCCCAAAAAACACTCTGTATAGTGTCTTTTGTAGGTATATTTTCCCGTAGAATCGAATGCTGAAATCCTGAAAGAAGTGTTTGACACATTTTCAAAATTTAAACAAATTATCAACATTTACTACAAAATTTAATGATACTGAAGTCGTTTTTGGAGTTGTTTCGTTTTTGAGTTTCTTCAGTAACTATAATTTTTTTTTCATCAAAAAACTAAGAAAATGACACCAAATAGAACTTAAATTAACAATAAATCTCCGAAAGACACTTTTCATTTGAAAGAAGTTTTGTGCCGAAAAAACGAATATTTGAGAAACCTCTTAATTTTCTATATTGAAAAAATTTGTAGTATTTTTGCGGAAATCAACAATAAAACACAAATTATGTGAGAAAGTGACTGGAAAGAAAGTTGTAGATGTTTTCATGATCTACAACTTTTCCATTGAACACTTTTGCCTCTTATCTCAACTTTTGCCGGAAATTGCTGTAATACAATTTTTACCTTTTCACCCTCCCCAAAAACTTCAGGTGAATTCCTCCCCTGCTCACGTATTTATTTTTTTTGTATTTGTTATAGACTAATTCATTCGAACGTATCTACTTGACCAAGCTCCCTTAACAATATTCTTTTTTTTTCCCAAAAAATTCGCCTGGACTACTATTGAGGTTAATAACTATAATAGTTTCAATATCTACTGGTATGCACTGTATGATTTCGAATAACTGATGCCCACAGCAATAATATTCGATGAGAGTTATTAAGTTTTCTACACCTAAGCAAGGATTTAAGAGCACCCTCAAGGTTGCAGGGGCTTGAGCAGCCAATTAGTAAACACCCCTGTAAGTCTTGGATTTTTGAGTTTAAATCTATGGGTCAAAGCCATATCTGTAGCACTAGTACAAAATTATCGCATTTGGTTTGCCGTCTAAAGCAAGTAAAATAGAACACAAACGAATGAAAACAAAATTGGTTAGAATGATTATAACACTTTTATTTCATTTCAAATAAAGTATAATATATTAGTATTAATACTGTATTACATACAAGAAATGCACTTGTTAGAAACTTACAGAAGAGTATAATATAAATTTCGATAGGCAAAAATGAAAGAACTTTTGTTTATCCTTTCCTAGCATTACTAATTAAATAAAAATTGTCCAAAGGCGTTGGTGCACAACTGGATTCATACTTGTTACAAATAATACTTTTACTCGGCGCTTTAAATCAGATCAACGAGAAGTGACGTTCAATTCGAATAAAAATTTGCAATATATACAACGTACTGAAAATAGCTTAAGACCTAAAACACGAAGTAAAGGAAACATAGGTTGTACTTAAACGTTATTTGGGATGAGATGCAAGTTAATAAAAAGAAAGATGGATCAAAGCGAGAATAGTGATTTAGTTTCATATTTAAATAATAAATATGCGAATCTCTTAAAATCTAATTTGTTTTGAAAAACAAGCGTGGACCCTATCGTAGTAATATAATAACAGAGAACCTTTTTAAGTTCAGTTCAGTCGCGTCGCAGTTCGCGTCCTTAGAATAATGAAATAACTTCGCGCAATTATTACGTTTTGCACTCGTTCCGAGTGAAGAGAGCACGCTCAGAAATCTTTCCAAAGAAATATCTACAAACGAAAAAATTACTGTCTACAAAGACGAAGAGCGGGTTATATCTAAAAAATATATAGATAGATATTTCAGTCTTCAGAGAAAATATCACATTCCAATCAATGTATCTTTTTTGAACACATTGCGTAAAGCAAACGGCGTCTTCTCTCAAACACGGAAAGTTAATATAATTATTCTTTGCTACCGTTACGTGCTAAATATCACAGATCGGCGTACTGCGCAGCTGCAGTAATCGGCAGGCAAAACACGCGTACGGTTTAAAGACCAAACGAATAGATACTACATATATTTACATGACCGTCGTGTGCACACACTTACCTAAAACACAAGCAGCCATGTTTGTATTCTGTAATAAATTAAAGACGTACGAATCACTTGCACACTGGACAGGTACACAGTAAAAAATACAAAATTTTGCAGAGGATCATCAGATTGACGTAAACGGTTTGCGTCGTATCGCACCGTGTACTAAAATTAAACTAAATATCGATCCCCCCTTCTATATGTTTCGTGCATTTCAATAGCATACAGATATAAATTCTATTACATTAAATCTCGGCTGAAAATCGCACGAGAACACATTTACACATCTACATTTATAAACTAGGAGTGCCTTCTAAAACTTGTTGTGACCACAAAGTGTGGGGGGTCAAGTTATAATAAGTTGTGGCCAAACTGGGACTGGAACTCGTCTCAATCAAAATTTGGAACCTTGAGAATTTAAACTTATATGTACAACTATTAAATATTTACGGTGCGAGACATTCACACCTCTGCCTTAACAAGTTTTCCAGTCCAAGCTAACATCATATTAACACGTATATATTTCTAAAGTACGGAGTATTCACCTCAATTGCCAACTTTGTACTTTCAATAATGCGTCATCGAGAAGTGCCAATATTTAAATGGAAAAGAAACGAAATGTCAGCCTGAATACGGATGCATTATTGAAAATAATCTTGAGAAAGGTGAATTAGGCTTGGCATAGGGCTCTCCTTTAGGAGTTAAATACAAGATATATCAACACTAAGCAAAGCTATCCTATAAACAAAAAAGAAAACTTCTAGTATACTTCCACCACTACAATTTGATTAATAAATAAGAGAAATTAACGATTAACTTAACCGCGCACGTAAAACACAAAAAACGAAAAAACATTAGCCCGTTAAAAAGAGGAAGAAACTAAACTATAATATTTGTGAGGGGATTGTAAGCGCAAGCTTACTGTTGCACGGCGGTAGCCGGCTGTGAATATTGGTAAGCGTATGGCGGCAGAGGGGGCGAGTACTGATTAAAGGGTTGGTTTATCGACTGATAACCGCACGGATTAGTCGGCGGGGGTCTGTTGCTCTGGAAAAATTTGTGATTGATCAGGCAATGAATGTCGTCCGGAGGTGGAACACCTGACATCATGTAGGGCGGCGCGACGGGATACATATTTGGACTGTTAGCAGGGGGAGGTCCAGAGAACGCTTGCCGCTGGTTGTAACGTTGCCCGTTCATCATGTTGCCGTTACGAGATGGAGGGCCTGCACAAACACATCCATTAGCATTTAAAAAAGGACCCAATCGTTTTTACAATAAATTTATGTAAATGAAAAGTTTCAAATGAAATATCCTGTATATTTTTGAAACTTTGAAATAAATACAACCATGCTGTTTTCCCAACTCTTAAAAAATATTATGCTTGTCTACAGAGTGTTCATTTTATTTTGTCCACTATTGCTATATCGAGAACGATAAGAGCTATGCCGTACGTTAAATTAGCAACAATTTCTACTTTACAAGACTATTTTAATGAGCACATTGAACATGGGTTGAAAAAAATTTCTTTGTGCTCATTAAATAGTCTCATAAAATAGAAAGAGTTTGCTAATTTAACTGACCTTGTAGTTCTTATTGTTTGTCGAGATAGCAATAGTGGACAAAATAAAATGAACACCCTGTATATCATATTCACATAAAAGACTAAATGACAACTGTTAGTAGTGATTTGTTAAAGTTGGTTCTTGAATACTGCAAGCCGTGGTCTACTTTCTCTCTGTCAATGTTCTTTTTCTATGATTTTTAAATGAAAGCTAGTTGAATTTCACATTTTAAAACATTTTTGTCATGCTATTTCATTGCAATGGGCTCCACTGGTACTGCAGCAAAATTGCCAATCAAGAGACCCTCTCAATCAAATGTAAACTTTGAAAAGGATGAGAGAAAAGTCAAGTAGTGCCATCCTTTTCCTCCAGTGTAGTTACCATTAAGACAAAATGTCATGCTTAGTGTGAAGTGTGTGATATTAAGTTGGAGTTGTGGTCATAATTTGAAATTAAGCCTTATGGTCACTGGTCAGTGAGTGTTGTGATCTAGACCCCTCCACTTATAATTTGAGATAGAGGATAGCACACCTCTATCACGTGTTCAAAGAAAAATCGAAAAAGTTCTTCCACTAATTCAAAAAACAAATCGTTAAATACAGAATTGTCTTTTATCTTTCCCGACATTTAGCATAACACGCATTGACCACAAGCCAACAGCCACCCATTTTACTAGTGATGCGGCTTTTTACAGTGTTCAAGAAAAAAAGGTCACCTTAATACTATTTATTTGGCACGGTACGAAAAATGTTTCATATGAGTTATACATGGTGTCAATTTTTCGAGTGCCACTATGGGGATCTCACTTATCTTAAGAGATAGAAGGTTGGTTAAATGGGGGCAAAGTTGTTAATTTTCGGGCTGAATAAGAATCTGAAAAGAAATTTGAAATATCTTCAACAGTTTTGAAGATATCGCAAAAAAACGAAAATGTCTGATTTTCGTTTTTAATTTTTTTATGATAAACTAATCGTAGTAGACATTACTAATTATCACATTATTCGGACACTTTTTAATGGAGATTTCAAATATGGCATCCAGTTTTTAATAACTTTCAAAATGACGCAGAAACACGTGGCAACTTTAGTTTTTCTTATGGGCGCCATTTTGAATGTTCACATTTTGAGATTACGTCTTTTTTTCTCTTTACAACGATATATCACACATGGTGGTTTAGTTTCACATTTTTCTTAAAAATACAATTTTTAATTTTTTGAGAAGAGTGCTTTGGAAAAATAAAACATTCTTTTGTTTGATCCATCTGTCTGGTCAGCGTTTTCAGATAAGTAGAAATTCAATTTTCATCTGAACAGAATTGAACCTTCATTATGCTAGAAAATTATAATTAAAATTAGAACAAAATACATCACAACATGTGTTCAAATTGCCCACCTCCTAATTCTGAGCATAGTGCCACTCTCTTCCTAAGATTTGCTATGGCTCTTGACACATCCCTCAGGAAATGGAGGTACCGATCTGCATTTAGAGTCTCTTCGTACATGTAAGGACCGATTATTGTATCGCCCAATAAACCGACCCATATGTTAACACTAAAACATATTTGTGGTCGTGTTCTTGAAATTGATGAGAATTTTCAATTGACCAGTAATGTTTATTGTGGCGATTAAACATTGCTTCATTGGTAAATTTGCACTCATCAGACCATATGATGTCATTAAGGAAATTTGCATTTTCTTGAAGCTGATTATTGACAAATGTACAAAAAGCTACCCGTCGTTCATGATCTCCTGGATGGAGCGTTTGGGAAATATGAATTGCCCAAGGCCGATATTTGTGCTTTTTAAGAGTTCTTCAAACAACTTGATGAGATGGCAAATTCAGCTGGGCTGCAACTTCCCTTGAGGAGACAGATGGATTGTCTTGCACCTAATTAACAATTATTAAATGATGAATAGATTAGTAGTTGTAAGCATGTAAAATTTTTACCGCTTGCATAATTGCCTGCTCATATTCATTGGGTCTATCACCATATTGCTGTCTACATCTTTTAAAAGATCCATATTCGCCCAAGTTTTTATGCAGCAAAGAAAAATACCTCAAACTAGGTTGTTGCCGCTCTGGATAACGCTACAAGTATGTTGCAGCAGCCATGTGGGCATTTCGATGAGGGGTGTAGTAAATTTGGATCATATCTCTTTGTTCTGCACTTGAAAAAGGCATTTTCGCAATACAACTAGCATAAACCTAAATAACACTACATGAAATAAGTCAACCTTTTCTTCACAACAAAAGAACCTTTTATTTTTCCAAAGCACTCTTCTCAAAAAATTAAAAATTGTATTTTTAGGAAAAATGTGATACTGAACCACCATGTGTGATATATCGTTGTAAAGAGAAAAAAAGACGTAATCTCAAAATGTGAACATTCAAAATGGCGCCCATAAGAAAAACTAAAGTTGCCACGTGTTTCTCCGTCATCTTGAAAGTTATTAAAAACTGGATGCCATATTTGAAATCTCCATTAAAAAGTGTCCGAATAATGTGTTAATTAGAAATGTCTACTACGATTAGTTTATCATAAAAAAATTAAAAACGAAAATCAGACATTTTCGTTTTTTTGCGATATCTTCAAAACTGTTGCAGAAATTTCAAATTTCTTTTCAGATTCTTATTCAGTCCGAAAATTACAACTTTGCCCCCATTTAACCAACCTTCTATCTCTTAAGATAAGTGATATCCCCATAGTGGCACTCGAAAAATGGACACCGTATATGTGACGTTACGATCTAGCCGATCGCATATTGAAACTTCTTATATCCCTGCCCCTAATCGATGAAACTTTTGTTTTTCAAATTTAACACCTATGGTTTTTTATGATATCGGAAAAGAGCAATCAATTTTCTATACAACATAAAATATGCATATGGAAGAATACAAAAAAATGGTAAAATTTGTGATTCCATATTTAGCAAACTTATTAAATCTAACATGCCGTGTGCTGTCAGGATGTGTGGTGTCTGTTGTGTTACAGGGATAGACTGTATTGCGCAAAAGTAAATTTTCAAATAAGTGATATTGAAGTGACCCTCTTATCTCAAACAAACTGTATATAAAATTTATACTTTCAGTTTTTGTGTGCTCATTACAAAAAAATCTTTAATGGCATGTGCAATACAGGGGCAATCATAAAATTTAATTGGGTTAATACTGAGCGCTCAATGCCTCCTTACCATAGCCTCGTGGTGTCGGTGGAGGACCATATGCGTTCTGCTGTGGATACCCTTGATTGCCCATCGGATTTTGGTAACCATTCGAATATGCCATCGGAGGAGCGGAATTTCGCATGTTATTCCTCTGATACATTTCCCCGTTACGAATGTTGTTGTTGTTGTAACGCATCGAAGGCTGCCTTTGTTCAATGTTGTTAGAAAGTCGATTTGAATTCCACACATTTCTCTTGCCGGAACCATTATTAGAGTTCGGTGATGAGTTGTCTTTGTTTCGGTTTTGCCAACGATTCCTTGTATTCTGACCGCCGCGCGAGTTTGACGCCAGCTCGCGCAACTTCGGATTAACCTGCTGACCAGATTCCTCCAACACCGCTATTAAATCCTTAGCCTGCCTTTGATTATTTGGCGTGAAAAACGCGTAAGCTGTGCCGACTTGCTCGCAACGGCCAGTGCGGCCGATTCGATGAACGTAATCCTCGCACGAATTTGGATAATCTAAATTAATAACGTACTTGACGTCCTCCACGTCCAAACCACGTGCCGCGACGTCCGTCGCAACTAAAATGGATGCTTTGCCATTTCTAAACTCTGTTAAAACGTAATCTCGTTCTGGTTGAGATTTATCACCGTGTATGGAGATGGCAGAGTAACCTTCCATACGAATGCATTTCGTGATATCGTCTACTTTCTTTTTCGTTTCAACGAATATAATTATTTTGTTATTTTGATCGGCAGCTATTTCTTTCAGTAAACCTAGCAGCTTACCTTCCTTTTCGTTTTCCTCATATACTTCCACAATTTGCCTTGAAACACACAAAATTGTAATCAACATTATCAAAGTGTGATTGGGATGAATAAAAATAAATCGGTGTACAAAAAGTATATACAAACAGAAAAAAATGTATTAGGAACGGATACAACTGATAGTCCCTTGGAATACTTCGTATAGTATAAGAAAAATGCAACAATGAAAAGGACTTGCGAAGCAGTAATGTGGAAAACATTAAATAGTGGCAATAAAAATACACAGCAACTAAATAAATACTTTCATAAATATTTATTGAAGATATATATAAAATCAGGCTTTAAATTATTTAGTTTCATTGATACCAACTAAAACACTTCCTAGTCAATATCATGTTTCTTCAAACAATTTTTTTTAAAATTTGGCGATTAAATAAACCGAATGTAGCGTGGTACTTTATATATTAAAAACTTCAGTTTGTATTCTTGAGTTGAAATGAGTATAGATTGCCAGACATTATCGAGATTCGGATTCCTGGTGCTTCAAAACGCGTATTTCCGTAAAAAAATGTAGGTTTTTTTTACCCCAATGCAATACGAATGTGAGGGTGGAAAAACCATATGACTTCTCAATCATCATGATCTCTTCTGTGCAAGAGGTTATACCATAGAGGAAGATGCATTTTTAAATGTGAACTGTCAAAACTAATAAAAAGAAGACGTTATCCAAATAAAGCCAGAACCTACTGGACCATTTTAAAAATGCTACGTTCATAATTCAACTGTTTGGTTGGTGAGTCTGAACCGAGGTCTGAATTTCATCCTATTCAGTTTCGCGAAGGGTTTGTTTATTTTTATTTGGAAAGCTGTTTATGTACTTTAATTGAAGCTCAATAAAAGTTATTATTATATTATTTAGCTAATTACACAAAATTGATTTTTATTTGCGGCTATAACTAAGAAACACTGCGTGCTTAATGAAGTTAAGTTAAGTTTGTCCTGTAATTGGAAAGATTTTCTGTTGGACATTTAAATACTAGCTGACCCGACGGACATTGTCCTCTTTCTTAGCTATGAATACCTATTCAATTCGGACTGAAATAAATAATAACAAAAAAATTTGCTGTGGCTAGCACAGGTACCACCCGCCCCACCTGTACATGCGCGATTTTGCCCTTTTATGTCTAAGAATATGTGTAGCAAATTTGATTTAAATCGGTTGAACTGTTTAGCCGGAATAGTATATTGAAAGACAAGTGTTACAATGCGACCTATTGTAATACGACTATCTTGTGGCACGAGTGGCGACGCGAAGCGTACAACTGTTTTCACAGTTGTACAAAATCATCATTGTGACACCGAAATAGAAAAAAGAGATTTTGACACACTTGCCACAAAATCGCGCCATCTCTCCCTAAAATAATAAAAAATAAACGCACTCACTTCTATAGTTGCTTTTGGTGATTCAGCGCGAGCAACGTACCTTCTTTTGCGCCAAATGCCGTAATTTGAAAGCAATTATTGTATTTCAGGATATGAATCAAAAAATGTATAGAATCTGGCCCATTTCCAAAAACCAAGGATTGTAGTGGCTCTGGTGGCCGTACCTATAGCATACATTTCACTTGGCCACTGGCGCAACATAATCCAGGGGCTTCAGTATCCTTGCAATGTGGACACACAAAGTTCTTTGGTCTAATAGCAACAATTTAATGTAAACTGTAATCGAAAAGGGAAAAACAAATTTCAACATTTCTGCTATTAGTAGCAATTCATAAAACAACAAAAGTCATGGTTATTTTAAAATTTGCGGATAACTTTAAACTCTACAGTTTTTTCTGTAAAATGTACAGGAGGGTAGGATAGAGCATAAAACTAATTTCCCATGTTAAATCCCTATGTTCCTACCTACCGAGCACCACCCGGTATATGTTTGACTTGTAGGATTACGAATTCTGCGACCTAAGTTGGTACCATATGTTGGTACATCTAATAAATAGCATCTTAAAAAAACTAAAATTCAACTGAAAATAGAAATTGACTCCCTTAGTGTTTCTGTATAACTATGTATACCACCAAAAATGGATATTAGGTATAACAAACTTTTAATATAAAAGGCGTGATTGCGGTGAAATAACTTTGAAACTTCTCAAAAAACGCACTGAAATCTGGATAAACTATCCGATCGAATTGACAGCACACTATGATATGAATAAATTAATTTTTTGACGGATATATTATGCCGATCAATGTAGGTGTTAAAACAATTGCCATCGCACCGTCAAACGCGCGATGTTTAAATAGTCGTTAAGTTTTCTCCAATTTTCCGAGCGATTTTCTTAGCTTTTCTTGCCATAAGAACCTTCTACACACTATTAGAAAACTTAAAAAAAAAAGATTAATGGAATCGGTCAAGCCGTTCTAAAGTTATTGCGTGACCAGAAGAAACCGAGGTTCATTTTTATATATAGAGATTATTATTATTATTATTATTTATATATGTCATTTTTATCTTAGAGTACGGATAAGAATGCATTTATTTTTATAAAATAAGCGCTTATTATATATGAATCAAAACGGGCAAAAAAAGCTAAAAAAAAAGGCAAAGTAAGCAAACAAATGCACAATCAACCAACCCCACAAAAAAAACCTGGATTCCTCAATAAAACATGATTATGATGAAACTAACTCTAATTATCAGAAAAACAATTAACAATTATGTATTTCTCCAAATTTGCAATTTTGCCTTCGGTCCGATAAAATATTTTTATAGACGGAAAAGCTTCTCTCGACATCTGTAGAGGTAATTGGTGCAAATTTAAAGACGTTTAATGGTGCTGTAGTACGTGGTTCTAAATCTTCAACGAAATTTCCGTTTAGGCTTTTAGAGATTTTCAAAAAATATGAAAACCAGAATTTTTTGTTAGCACGTCCTCTAATTTCTTTTGAACTATATCGGCTATTGGACCGTTTATCTTATTTGTGTCTCTTTGAAAATCTACGATTTTAATTGATTCATCAAGGGGCAAATTTTGGGATTCAAATTTTTACAGTGCGCTATTTATTAAAAAAATGCAAATCCCAACATTCTTGCCCGCATTAAGTTAATATGCAAGATATCATTCTAATCTCAGTGTAGAAATGTAAAAAAAATCAAAAAAGGCAAAATAAAAATAGCCTCAAACGCTTTCTTTTTTCATGAAACGTGTATATCCAAAACCATTATGTTCTGCATTCAACATTAACGTGTAGGCAAAATGCCATAAATGCGCACTAAGAGTTGTAGGGTGTCATTATATAAAAAAGTGCGTATGTAATATATGACAGTTAGAGCGTCTGTAATCGTTATTACTTATTACATAGCCCATAAACCCACTGATACTGGGGAAAAAAGAGATATCCGCTCATGCAGAGCTACTTACTGCTCTACGATAGATACATTACCGCCCGAAATAAATTTAAATCAAAAAGCAACAGAATAACAAAAAAAGGAGTGTTGCAAGGTCAAGGGATACTGAGCGCCTTTTTCGCTCACACTGATTTAATGAACTACGGCGCGCGTAAGTGAGCGTCGGCCTTTTAAAGCACTAGACGAATGCGCGCTGAACGGTAAATTCAAAAATGCCCAATGGCGGCGTTACTAGTAGAAATTCCAGCCAATGGTGGCTGAAAAACATGTATATGATGCTGACACAATCCTATGTGAGCGATAGAAGCAAGAGATGCGAATTTATCGAAACATGTCTTTATGAACGTGTCCTACGTTAGCGACGCGAGCGGATTAAGCGAATTTTGAAGTTTAATATCTTATACCATTGCGAGCACCCTTCCAGCAATTGTAATAAATAAAATAATAAAACAGTGTACTCCCACCACTTGGGGCGCACCATTAATACAAAACAAGTTGTAAATCAGCATATGCATGATTAAAACGCATTCTTGGTAATACAGGTCAGTATTTTATTAGCGAAGTTTAAAATTATCGATCTCACGAGTAATTTTGGCTGCGTTAAATAATTAATTTTATTTAATTTCAATTGAGGGTACGTCTTTATTTTGTAAAATAAATCAGAATGCAAATAATTAAGTTTTTATACTGGTAGCGCTATCTAACGGTAAAATTATAGCACCTCCGAAAACCATATCGAAATTATTTTCTTCAATTATCGATCTCACAAGTACCCTAACTCAAAATAGACTACAGCCTGCACATCGCCACTATATCAGAAAGCTTTTAGTGAAAATTTGAAGTTTCTAGCTATTGTAGTTGCTGAGATCTCACCCAGACAGCCGGCCAGCCAGGCATAACGAATATAAAAAAATGCGCTAAAAATAATAAGTGCGATCATCGTTCTTTTGGAAGAAGCTGAAGAAATGGAATTACAAGCTAACAAGAGAAAGAGAATATAAACTAAAATGTGTTATTTAAAAACTCAGTCCAGCCATCTGCACCTTCTGAAGAAAATGAATAACATTGTTAACTTTTTGAAATACTAAATTATTTATTTGAGTAAAAATTCTTAACACGCGACGCACTCGCAACTGTCACTCAGTTTCACTAAATTTTGTATGTATGTACCTAACACACAGCATCCAAAGCAGCAGCTACATTTCACAGTATAGCTTAATACTTCTTCTTCTTCTTATTATTATTATTACTTCATTTTCCGCAAAGAGAAAATGGTCTTTTTCCTAATAAAACGGTGGCTTTAATGGTAGAATCAAGAGTAATGTGATCGCCACCAGCTGATGCATTGTAATGTGATATAAAACTGATAAAATTTACTTGTTATGTTAAGAATTAAAGTATTAATTTTGATTAACCTCTCAAGTTTGATGAGCACTTTAGAAATACTTCATAAAATTTAAGACCATCTATCATTTTAAATCAGTAGATAATAAGATGCTCGGTAAACTGGAAACTTACCAAATCCATCAAGAGCTCCCTAAACTATTCCCTGTACTTTAGCTTTGCAAATTGCAAGTGCAACTCTCCAAAGCTACAAAACTGTTGCCTACCTACAGTACTCTTTTAATGGAAATTATCAAAAACATTATAAACCATACTACTTGAAGTAAGAACAAGTCATTGAAAGTATAGACACCTGCTATTAAATATACCCCAAAGTAGCAAACCAAATTACCTCCACATGATCTTAATTAAAAGAGAAAGATTCCATGATGTTAATGTGAAACATGGCAGAATATCACTAAGTAAATTTGAGTATCGCAAATGAAAATAGAATCCTATTTAATAACATTGAACGTACTGCAACTTTCAAATCATATCTTAAGATGCAATTGCTTTTAATGCAAGCAAGCAATCTAAATTTCTGCCTGAAGTGGCAGATTAGCATATGCTGAACACCTTTCTTTTTGCACAACACCGATTTTTAATATTATTATTAATGACAACTGAAGTAAAAGTAAAACTAACAGCACAGGAGGATAGAAATCTTAGAAACAAAACAAAGGTACACAAAAATTACAACCTTATAGTGTGTCCAAATAAGAATCAAGCATAGAAGAACAAAAACCTGCTTGAACCAAGCAAGTGCTGTTTAGCTGATGTGAACTAGACTCATGAAATTGCAAAAACGATCCAAATTCTTCAATCCTGTCAGCTCAACTGAAGAGACAATTAGTCATTAATAGAATGTGTTGCCGGTTATAATAAACTCGATATTATCCTTAGTTGTTCTGTATTATTAAGTGCAAAACAAATTCCTCCGCCCCTCACCCCCCTCAGATAATAAAAAAACCCAAACCCAAAAAATAACAAATACAGCGGAAAATTTTATTACTTATGGAAAAATCAATAACTTTTTGTATCTAAACATGTGGATCAGATTAGAATAAAAAAAAACTGTACTTACCTAATATTCCGGTTAGCAGACAGTGCAAGAGATCCAACATTAATCTGTACATAATCAACGAGAAAATCTTCAGCAAGCGCCTGCACCTGCTTAGGCCACGTCGCCGACCACATCAAAACCTGCCTGTCAGGCCGTATCTGCGTGATAATCTTCCTGATTTGAGGTTCGAAACCCATATCTAACATTCGATCGGCCTCATCCAACACCAAGTAGGTGCATCGTTGCAAATTGGTCGTACCCTTCTCGAGAAAATCGATTAGTCGGCCTGGAGTAGCAATGACAATCTCGACACCGCGCTCCAAGTCACGAGCCTGCGGACCTTTGGGGCATCCCCCAAAAACGCACGTGTTTCGAATCATGCTTGGCGCGCCGAAATCACGCGCTACCTGTTGTATTTGCTGCGCTAATTCTCTGGTGGGGGCGAGGATTAGTACGATGGGGCCTTCGCCTCTTTGCGGACGCTGTTGGTGGTTGATATGTATTGCTGCTGGGACCATGTAAGCTAACGTTTTACCGGAACCGGTCTGTGCGATTCCGACCATGTCGCGTCCCGAGAGCGCGATCGGCCAGCCTTGCGCTTGTATAGGTGTCGGTTCTGCATACCCCTGCCTAATAATTTCTTGCATTACATAATCGGGGAAATTAGTTTCGTCGAAGCATTCACTCGGATTTGGAACGTTGGTTCCCTTGACTGTAATGGCTTTTTCATCGCGGAAACTATCAATATCTGTTTGAGATCGGTTCTGTATATCCATGTGTGGAACGTAGAAGTTCTTGCGAAATGGTTGAAGGGTGGTCATGTCCCAAACCAGTTTATCTTCGTGACCTTTCTGTTGCGGGTTTTGTTGTTTCGAATTCGGCCCTCCGAAGTCTTGGACTGCAGCTAGAGAATGTGTAGGTGGTTTCCAGTAGTTAGATTGTTTATTGTTAAACTGTTCACCACGATTAGGGCGCGGACGATATCTGCACAAATAAAAAAAAAATTACAAAAGATACTAACAAAAGGTGGAAGAAAAAAAAGTAGAGGGTACTTAAATAAACGAAATTATTCGACGAAGTTTGACTAGAAATTGAAATTTTCTACTTACACAACGTTATGTTGATATCCGTTATATTGCATTGTGGAGAAAATAAAAAATCAGTAAAAGTCAATGGCTGCCTGTGTTTAGGTTGAGTTACCAAATAGTTCTGTAAAAGAGGGACGTGCGATTATGATGTGCGACTTTTAAGCAAAATAAACTATTCACCGTATTTTACTCTAATCTCGCTTAGACTAATCTTTTCTCCAACACAAAGCAATTTCTAACGATTTACATTTAAATCACTTACCTACAGTCCATTTATTCACTTCACCGGTTCAAGATCACCAAAAGTGATGTTTGATAAACTGTCACTTTCAACGCATTCGCATTGGCCCATTGCACTGATTGGTGCATTTTATTTTAAACGCTCTCCTACATCGAATAACTTTACATCGAATTTGTTTTTGAACAACTAATTGAAGTATATTGATTTATGACGCGAATAATAAATTATCAATTAGAAACTGGTACAAAAGTGAAAACATCTGTCATTAACATTTAACAACTTATTGTGGACCGAGTCCAGCTCGTAGTAGCGAGGCTTGAACAAGTATAAGAATACATCAGTTTCACCATGAAGCCATCATCAGGGCGAAGGTGCCTATAATCATTGACTATACAGTTGGTGTGTATAATCAATGCGGTAATTAAACGTTACCAGAACATCCTAGCTCGCAAAATCGAAAGAAACAGATCTCAGCCACCCCACCTTCTACGCACTTTTTCAAATGTAATTTCAAAAAAGGCTTCACTCTGGTACTCTGTTGCAATCTTCTAAGCTAACCTCAACTACTCTTAAGACTCGCAAATGTCGCCTTATATAAAGTCCTCAACTCTTGCAGTCATATATATATGCCATGAACTGCCATTACTACTTCTACTATTGGGCTTTTGGCGTCTTCCAGAACACCCTTCCTTTGGAAACAATAATTAATAGAAAGTTTTCGAAAGAAAGGTGGAATACACTGGAAACTAGGACTTAAAGGGGCAGTATACCCAAATTTCATGTTTTCGCCTAAAGATAGATTAAAAATATCTAAGAGTAACGGTGAAAACCGCAAGTCGCTACGCCGTTTCGTTATTAAATGGTAAGGTGTCGAATGTAAAAAACGGTCGTTGTGACGTCATCCCGACAAATGGGTCGGTGGCGCGCTATAGCAATATATGGATTCAATGACGTTTGACGTGTTAATTTGAGACTGACGTAGTCTGTGATCTACATTATTTTCAAAAATGACTAACTTTGTGTTTTCCGCTGCAACAATAATTTGAAAAATGCTAATGTAACATTGCAAATTTTCCCCGAAAAAAGAAGGAGCCGTGTCGAAATAAAGTCTGGAAAAGTAGAAAAAACCGCTGAATCATATAGTATAGTCACGTCGTTTGCAGTGTCCATTTTAAAGATGATAATTTTTTTGGAAGATACAAGAAGGAAAGAACCCAGCTGTGCCTCAGTATAAAGTTTTGAGAAGGCTAACAATACTGCAATCCCTTCTTTACATCTCACAGGAAACAAAGGTCCTAATAAAGCTACAAAACGTCAGTCAACTTATCTAAGAAAGTAAGATTGTGTCCGATTGCTTATTGTGGGTAAACGATCAACTTCGTAGTGGAGAAACCAATTCAACATCAAACATATGCCACAATCAAACAGAAGAACTGAATCAAATGGAACCAATAACGCTTACTGAAAGCATAGGTATCCAATCTGAGCTGAGTACAGAAATTTATTACAAATATCCAAATTTATATGAGGATATATGTTCGAATGATACTTCAGTAAGTTTTCTTGTTTTTTTTTCAAAGGAAAGCGAACTAGAATTATGAAAGAACTGACGCGTTTGGAATGCTTGGATCCGTGCCGCCGCACACACGATGTCGGGATGACGTCACATTTAAGGAATAATAAGTGCGACGTTGCTATTAATCGCATAAATTCAAATGAAATTTTAAAGGAAGTTGCATACGTGGCGACATCTCAACTAGACTTCTAAAACTATAATTGATAGAAAGTGTATCGATTGCCATGGAGATGGCGCACTAGTACTTATTGTATTTAATCAATCTATTCAAAAACCGGGCCTTTAAACTACAATTGCTCTACAGATCTTGCAAGACTCCGTACATTTTGAACTGCCATTTATTCAGACTTCTCAATCAAAAGTTATAGACTAGAAACCAATTTCGAAAGAAAATTCAAAGGGCTGTAACTTTTGAACTAGTAGCCCAATCTTGGAACTGTTTGAAATTATGGATTCTACAGGCCACATTCTATAAGAAAAATTTTTTTCCGGGTCGATCTGAGACAATTTTTTTTTCGGGGCAAAAAAAGGCAGTGTATAACCTTCCTTTTTTACCAAAAATCGACTGCACCAAAATTTCTCGGGAAAACACTTTTTCTTATTAATTTTGGTGCGTAGAATCCAAAACAATTCGTACTTTTTCGATCAGACTTCTCAATCAAAAGTTATAGACTAGAAACCAATTTCGAAAGAAAATTCAAAGGGCTGTAACTTTTGTAACCTTTTCCATAAGTTTGTCGACAAGTAACAGGTGTAGTATTAGGAAAAGAAACACCTCCTCGCACTCATATGATCCTGATACAGAATTGTCAAATTTTTATGTCGAATTAAAGCTTTGAAATTATTTTGACAGAGATAGAAAACGACCTCTTATATTATGTTCTCCTAGTAGCCCGACACCTTTTACGTAACTGTGTCGACAAGTAACAGGTGTAGTATTAGGAAAAAAAACACCTCCTCGCACCCATATAGTCCTGATACAGAATTTGCAAGTTTTTAAATCGAATTAAAGCTGTGAAATAATTCTGACAGAGATAGAAAACGAGCTCTTCTTATATTATGTTCTCCTAGTAGCCCGACACCTTTTACGTAACTATGTCGACAAGTAACAGGTGTAGTATTAGGAAAAGAAACACCTCCTCGCACATCATATGATCCCGATACAGAATGGCAAATTTTTAAATCGAAATTAAGCGTTGAAATAACTCTCATATTGATAGAAAAAGACCTCTTCGTGAATTCTGTTCTCCTAGTAGCAAGACACCTTTTACGTAAATTTGTCTACAAAGAACAGGTGTATTTGGGACTGAAAGACCTCCTTTCACGTTATATCATCCTGATACCTACCAAATTTGAAAGTGTTTTCGGCAAAGTGCGAAGGACCAGGTGCTTATTGTACCTACTGTAATCTTCAGTTTTGTTATTGGGGAGGAAAATAAAGTACAACTTCTGTAAATAATTTTTATATTGAAAACTGTACAAACAAAATAAAACGCATATTCTGTTCCGAATGAATCTTGAGAGTAAATGCAGCCCATGGTTAGCTCAGAAATCTGGTATCAGGAGAATATAATGTGCGAGGATATCGAAGGTTAAAATAAAATTTAAGTGAGGTTAGGTTAGCGTGCTAGTTAGGTTAGCTCAGAAATCTGGTATCAGGAGAATATAATGTACGAGGAGATCGAAGGTTAAAATAATTTAAGTGAGGTTAGGTTAGCGTGCTAGTTAGGTTAGCTCAGAAATCTGGTATCAGGAGAATATAATGTGCGAGGAGATCGAAGGTTAAAATAAAATTTAAGTGAGGTTAGGTTAGCGTGCTAGTTAGGTTAGCTCAGAAATCTGGTATCAGGAGAATATAATGTGCGAGGAGATCGAAGGTTAAAATAAAATTTAAGTGAGGTTAGGTTAGCGTGCTAGTTAGGTTAGCTCAGAAATCTGGTATCAGGAGAATATAATGTGCGAGGAGATCGAAGGTTAAAATAAAATTTAAGTGAGGTTAGGTTAGCGTGCTAGTTAGGTTAGCTCAGAAATCTGGTATCAGGAGAATATAATGTGCGAGGAGATCGAAGGTTAAAATAAAATTTAAGTGAGGTTAGGTTAGCGTGCTAGTTAGGTTAGCTCAGAAATCTGGTATCAGGAGAATATAATGTGCGAGGAGATCGAAGGTTAAAATAAAATTTAAGTGAGGTTAGGTTAGCGTGCTAGTTAGGTTAGCTCAGAAATCTGGTATCAGGAGAATATAATGTGCGAGGAGATCGAAGGTTAAAATAAAATTTAAGTGAGGTTAGGTTAGCGTGCTAGTTAGGTTAGCTCAGAAATCTGGTATCAGGAGAATATAATGTGCGAGGAGATCGAAGGTTAAAATAAAATTTAAGTGAGGTTAGGTTAGCGTGCTAGTTAGGTTAGCTCAGAAATCTGGTATCAGGAGAATATAATGTGCGAGGAGATCGAAGGTTAAAATAAAATTTAAGTGAGGTTAGGTTAGCGTGCTAGTTAGGTTAGCTCAGAAATCTGGTATCAGGAGAATATAATGTGCGAGGAGATCGAAAGTTAAAATAAAATTTTAGTGAGGTTAGGTTAGCGTGCTAGTTAGGTTAGCTCAGAAATCTGGTATCAGGAGAATATAATGTGCGAGGAGATCGAAGGTTAAAATAAAATTTAAGTGAGGTTAGGTTAGCGTGCTAGTTAGGTTAGCTCAGAAATCTGGTATCAGGAGGATATAATGTGCGAGGAGATCGAAGGTTAAAATAAAATTTAAGTGAGGTTAGGTTAGCGTGCTAGTTAGGTTAGGTCAAAAATCTGGTATCATGATAATGTTCAAGGAGTTGATTGAAGGTTTGGTTAGAGTCGTAGTTAGGTTAGGTCAGATTAGTTTGGGCGTTTTAAATTTTTACAAATCTTGTATCTAACCTAACTCACATGAAACTTAACTCTCAAGTCATTAAAATGATCACCGATTTAAAATTCTTATTTATTGCGGCGTACTCTTATGGCGATTTAACTCGTGTATTGCGAAATCTAGGTATAGGTATACCAAAGAGATATACGGACGGCCGTCCGTTTACACCGTCCTTTGGCATTCCAAAAACGCTATGACGCAAGGGAATAGGCTATAATACAGGAGCGAAATGTTTAATTTTCGAGTTTCGTGGTTTACTCCTTTGACAGCGAAAGGCACAAATCCCGAAATGTTTATAGCCTTGCCTGAGTAATAATCAAAGCAGAATACATTGTGGTGACATCTGTCTTTATTATTGGGGACTAACATTTTATCGCTAAATGCAGGACACTTTATTACCACCATTATTTTAGTGGGAACTTACACCTCAAAGATGTCGCCACACTATATTTGTAATGTACTTTATGAAACTAACGTTAGATGTCAGAGCGCTATTTTTAAAAACCATAGATATATGAAGTTTTAACCTCAAATGCATAATTAATGTTTGTTTATTTAGTCAAAAATTAAACTTTGTTATCATTCCTTTCTCGCTTACAGGTTTATATTAGGGAACTGGCTACTGGGAGTGACAGGAAAGCGGCAGACTCATCCTTTGCGGAATATGATACTGTTCGCTCTGGGTCGTGCAATCGAAGACATGTAGTTCTCGATGGATGAGAAACGTTAGCATTGAATTCAGACAACACAAATTGAAGAGAGAAATGCTTTGTAACCAAAACAGGAGGACACCGTGGATAACTCGCCGAAAACCCATTCTAATGCAATTCAATCTTCTCAAGGTTAAAATCGGAACGATTACATGATTGCAGCAGCTGGTGATGGTGCGAAGCTATTCTTTAAAGAATTGAGCCTAGAGTTTATTTGATAGAACTACGGTTATAGAAGCGGTAGTGAAATTGGCAGCGAAATAAGGCAAAAGTGTTACGCAGTTTGCAATCACGAAAAAATGTGTTGTTTGTGCGATCTTCGTGTGAAAGTTGTTGTAAAACGGTTCAATTTAATGTACCTGTTATTGAAATTGTTCTTCCAAGGGCTTTAAATAAACTCCTATTCATAAGAAGTTACGAATGGCAAAAATAAATGTTTTCTGTTCATTGAGCATGATGTGTTGCCTACAAACCAGGCTACACAAATATCGCGTGCCCATATTCAAATTAGGGATTTGCTTGAATCTCCCCAATCTCCCGTTTTTATTGAGGGTAAGGAGGGCCTCCACGAACGAATGGCCCAGGGCCCCGAAAAACTTAAAAACGGCACTGCGTCACATGTTCTGTCTTTCAAACTTTCATCGTTAATAATTTGAAAACTACTCATCGTAGAAAACTCCGGTTTGAAATTTTGTTCTTAGATTTTCTTCTACAATTTTTTTGATTTTGGGTATACTACCCCTTTAAGTATTTCAATGAAAGTCTAGTGTTTCTAGAGGGCTGCGTTGAGGCCCATTTTCAGTCCCTTCCAGAAATTCAACTCATCGCCCAGCCCAGGAAATATTCTACAAAACGTTATAAAACTCTAAGAAGCCCTGAAAGCAGTTTTGGATAATCTCATACAACTTATTAAGGCACTGGAAAGCGTTTTAGAACCTCTGGAAACCTTTAACTGCTTTCTGATTGAGATTCACGGTAATTCTTCATCTGCACGCTTTCCAAAGCCTTCTAAGCACTCTAAGGGGTTCGATCTAGACCCATTTTAGAGCTTTTTATGGTTCTTTTCAGAAACTTCCTTTTAGATCGCTTCCTGTGCCCTTCCCAAATGTTTTATTAGGCTTCAATCAGTTCTATCTATCTTTAGAAAATGCACAGAGACTGTCGGCGGCTCTGAACACTCTTTACTTCGTTTTTGCATAGCGCTTCAGACGTTCTGAAGTACTAAAAATCAACACTTTCTAGTGCAACCAAATGCCCACAGAGCCCCGGCATTGTTGTATACGACGACCTAGATTTACAATGCATTGTTAAAACAAGGAGCTTTCCAGGACGTTATACTTACCAAGGCGTTTAAAATGCATTATATTGTATATTATATTTTTTGCACTACTAGCGTCTGATGGCATGATTACTAGAAGTCTTTACCTTCGTATATTAATGCACTATACCTATATGGCCTTCTCAGAATCTAAAAAGCTCTCTAAACCAGTTTCTACTTTTTAGAACAGTTGTAATTTAATAGCATCTTCTAGAACAACTAGCACTGTTCTAAGGCTTTCCATCAACTTTCCTAAGCTTTTCACAGCAGGGGCGCGCCCCCTCCTAGGCAGTGGTAGTTACGCAGATCTAAAAAAGCGGCAGAGCACCTCAATGTGACGCTACGGGGTCATTGGATTTGACCCTTTTCAATAGGCTTATTACTTGTGGCATTTAGGTCACTGTGTACAGTTTGAGCCGAATCGGTTGAAGCGTTCGACAGTTATATAGTGTTCACGGACGGACACCATCGACTCCCCTATAAAGATTGCATCGCTTTGCTCTGCCGCTTAATAAGCGCCAAACCCTCCGCCCCTACAAATTCCTTTCATCCACCCTATTGTAATCAAGTACATTCTCACTCTAAATTTGAATTTACAAAAAAAATTAGCTGTGGTCAGCACACATTCCACCCACACGCTATTTTTTCCAAGTTTCAGCCCTTCCTTTTCTCTAAAAATATGTGTACACATAATGGAGATTTTGTTCCATTCAGATTACAGTGTGAGAGTACAAACTGCCTTCTAAAATCAGACCTTTGTAGTAAATCTTCATTTACCAATTTCCCCATTTTTCTACAGATTTTACTTGTTTTCCATTGCACAGCCTTAGGCCACATGTAGGGATTAAATATCAAATGATTTGTTCTCAAACTTTTTTAATGGTATTAAAAACCAATGTACAGGCAAACGTTTACAATATTAATAGAAGCACATTTTCCCAAGGAATATAAATTGGTAATCTTAAATGTAAAAACTATAAACATACTTTTATCAAAGTCACTGAAACCACAAATTTGAATTCCTTGTAAAAACGCCAAATCAAAGGGTCCACACTCCATACGCAGTGACGCAAATGCTCAAGACGAAAACACCTTATACATCTTGGCGATAGTTAATCCGTTGAGGACAATCTTTTTAAAAAGACAGTTATGATCCACTGTAGGAACCTATAACACTGAAGGAGCTTGGTTCCAAATGTTACACTTCAAAGTTGTAGCTTTCATTTTAGTCCGGAAGACCCAATGCTTTAGAACATGCACATTTCTAATTTAAAGATCTTACTGTACCGTTGTGGATACCCAGCGAATATGACAATGAGAAATCTTAACACTCCAAAATGAAGAACTGGAAGGCAATAAGGAAATAATTCCTGTGCCTTCTCCACTTCAGAAACATGGAAAATTACAGGATCACCAACTTAAAGTACACATAGGTGCAATTGAAATAAGAAGAGCTTTTGGGGTGTTAATCCTTGAGAAGATACATTCAGTCGCAAAATATTTCGCTGGTAACTGATAATCGACGTTTATTAAGAGAAATATATTGCATATGATCATATCGACACTGCAAATAACTCGAAGTCATAAACCAGTACACCTATTAAATATAGGTATCCTTGCACTTGAAGATCAATATAGGTACATTAAATTAATTTTACACTACACAGATTGTACACGAGATAAGTTTTACTAACGACGGAAGAATAAATAAACTAATATCTTAATCTAACAATACACTCCATACAAAAATGTCAATGAAATAAAAATTTCAATTTCTAAACTAGACAAATGAACTAGTTATGTACAAAAAGTCACCGCAATAATGAAGTCAGAACTCAATCACACTCTTGTGAAGGTGGAATGCATTTATTGAGTAAATACTGATGTGTGTTTTCTTGTAGAGATTTAGTAAGCTGAAAATGAAAAAAAATGAATAAATCGCTCAATTCGGAAATGTACAAGATTTACCTCCATTAGAATATCCATTTTGTTTACCCATACCTCCACCGCCATACCGCATGTGATTTCTGGGTCCTGTATTTTCTCGTCCTCTAAAATTGTTTCTGTAACCCCAACGGCTTCCCGATTTGCCACCGCCAAAGCTATCACAGCGACTCGCGATTTCAGATAATTTCGGATTTATCACCTGCAAAAAATTGTTTTAGGCTTTGCAATTGAGAACAAAAAAAAATTTGTTGGAAAACTAGAGGATGGAATCCAGACAAGTAGTGTGGACACCGAAGGTTTTTTTCCATATAATAATATCCCTCTTACAAGCATTCATGCTTCGCCGAAGTACGAGGCGAAGGCATGCCAAATTTAAGAGGATCAACTGTGTTAAAATGAATTACAAACCTGGTTCGCTTCCTTTAGAACTGCCACTAGATCTTTTGCTTGCTTAAAATTATTTGGAGTGAAGAAAGCATATGATGTCCCTGTAGTGTCTGAGCGTCCGGTACGTCCAATTCGATGAATGTAATCTTCAGACGAATTTGGATAATCAAAATTTATCACATATTTTATCCCTTCGACATCTAATTAGAAAAAATAAATTAGTTTTGCGCATAGATAACACGTATGAATTGAAATTTATGAAAGATTGTTAGTAAGACAAAAAATGAAACAGAATTGAAAGTTAAATTTAAAAAAAAATTAAAATAAATTAATAACTATGAAATACTAACCATTGCGCTCGAGAACTCACTGAATCCACAATGCGCTTGGCTATGACGCTTAAATATAAATTGGCAGAGCAATAGTAGCAAAAATTGCTGCAGCGGATCCAACCGATGTTGAAACAGACCGACTAATCCACTGCAGGACCGACAGGAAGTTTTATGAACTTTTATAAATTTTTTGACATCCCTTATCAGCAAATGCTTTCCCTCGATGATCAACCAATGTAAGGAAAGGGGTAGTAAAGGGAGATGTGAACGGATCTGCCATGGTTATATTGAAATTAAGGATAGGGAAACCAACAAGTGCCATATGTGATGCCACCTTCCATAATCGGTCTTCAACCTCAACTGAACTACCACCATAGGGTGATAGTCAGTCAGAGGCACCGCAAGACAGCATTGCATCCTTTTTAAGAACGCAACCTGATGCGTAAGATAGCAAAATCACGAGCTAACTACGCTCATCTCGCATGTGCCTCTGAAACAAAAAAAGGACAACCAGACTGATTAAAATGTCGATGCTCCAATGTGCGCTTACATACTAATCACTTACCAATGTACTATGTAACAAAAAAAAGATTAATATCGTATAAAAAATAACTACACTTACTACATGCAAAAATGCTAACTGATACCCAAAAAAGAACAAACCAGTCTGGAACATCCCCAATGCTACTATGCTTTGAAAACAATTTAGAATTTCCCCTTATTAATTTACTCCAATCAAAATTCCAAAATTAAGACTGCCAAGAAATAAAGGAGAGACGCACTTTTCACCTCTCGCACTTACCAAGACCTCGCGCGGCGACGTCAGTCGCGACTAATATGCTGCACTTTCCGTTCCTAAACTCGCGCATAACGTGATCACGTTCCGGCTGGCTCTTGTCTCCGTGCATACAAACCGCGGGCCATCCGTATCTTCGAATGTTACGTGTGATCGTCTCCACCTTCTTTTTGGTTTCTACAAATATTAGCGTTTTCGCGCCTGGTTCTGCATTGTTGCCAATTTCTTGTAATAAATTATTTAATCTGGAATAAGTCGAGCGTTAAGAGATTTATCTAGTGGAAGCGGAGGGAGAGGAGATTGGATAATAATCAGGTCTTCTTAGAGGAAAAAAACTTCGTCATGGTATCAGTTATAAAGTTCATCATGAGAAAAAACGGTAGATAATGTTTGGCAACCCTGCAATGGCGTGAGTTACCCATTGAATTTATAATGTTACAGAAGTTCAGGTTATTTTGTACATCATGCATTCCTACATTGCTAAAAAAAAGTGTATTCTCTTTTCAACAAATTTGCTTATAGAGAATTATAAATTATAAATGAAAGTTTACACACCACCGGTATCAAATGACAAGTCAAATAATTTAACATCAGAAGGTTCGAGTGTTAAACCACTGCTCTGGTCAAAAGAAATGAGTGATAGTTCTGCCAGAAAGTCTTTGACTGACAAAATAAACAATTCCTATAAGTTTGCTGCAAACTGGACATTAAACAATAGATTATAAATTCAATGGTTTTATGAGCTAGCGCAATCTCTGGACAGAATTCATTAAACTTAGTTAATTTGATATTAATTATCGACTTTAATGAGAGGTCAATACGATAAAGTCATAATTTTGCACTTTGACCCAATGTGCGTAGTAAAAAAGTAATACTTGCTTTGTTTCCTTCTCCTGTTCTTGGCACACATCGACAATCTGTAGAATGTTATGATTAGCCGAAAGTTGCATTGAACCAATGTTAATGTGAATATAATCGTCTAAGAAATCTGCAGCTAATTTCCTAACTTCTTTGGGCCAAGTAGCGGACCACATCAAAGTTTGTCTATCTGGCCGGATTTGTTCGACAATCTTACGAATTTGAGGCTCGAAACCCATGTCCAACATTCGATCTGCCTCGTCCAATACTAAGTAGGTGCAACGTTGCAAATTGGTTGTGCCCCTTTCGAGAAAATCGATCAGACGACCGGGAGTGGCTATCACAATTTCGACACCCCTTTCCAAATCACGCGCCTGTGGTCCCTTCGGAGCACCTCCGAAAATGCAGGTGTTTCTGACATAGGATGAGTTTCCGAACTCAGTAGCTACTTGTTGGATTTGCTGGGCTAATTCGCGAGTCGGTGCAAGCACCAAGGCGATGGGGCCTTCGCCGCGTATAACCGAAGGTTGGTTGTTAATGTGGACAATTGCAGGTAAAATGTAGGCCAATGTCTTCCCTGAACCGGTCTGTGCGATCCCGACCATGTTTTTACCGCTCATGGCAATTGGCCACCCTTGTGCTTGAATTGCAGTGGGTGTATCGTATCCTTGCTTGGAAATTCCGTTAATAACGTAGTCCGGAAAGTTTCCTTCTTCGAAATGTTGAATTGGGTTCGGTACCTAAGCAAACACTAACTTACAAAACTTGACAAATTAACGAAACTTACATCACGTCCTTCTACAGAAATCTGCTTTGCACGACGATACTGCTCAATTTCATATTGAGACCTATTCGCGACCATCGGATGTGGTATATAAAAATCTTTTTTAAATGGTCTCAAGTTTTTCATGTCCCAATCGGGTTTGCGCAAACGATTCCCATTGGTACTACTCTTATTACTACCGAACTTGCTCGGGGTGCCAAATCTACTTCCTCCACCACCACTACTTCCGCCGTACCCCCGACCGCCTCCACCCCTGTGATTTCCGTATCCATTGCCCATGCTATGGCCGCCGCCGCCTCCGCGGGGACCTCCTTGTCCACCCATCCGACCGCCACCATCGTGATTGCCCATACTATTCATGCCTCTTGGAGCATCACTGCCACTACTGCGTGAATTGTAAAATCCGTTTGACTTACTGTACGACCTAAAATTTCTCACATAATTGGTACGCAATAAATTGCAAATGGCCGTCTTCAATGTCATTGCTTTAGATCTTACTTTACGAGATTTCACGTACAAATTAATTCAATCTAACAAAAATATCATCGAAACTAAGACTGGAAATTGATTTAGGATTCACTTACATTATTAATCAGATGAATAAGTTTGACGTGTACGAGATGATTCAGGAAAACGACTTTCTAGTTTATGTTTGTAATGGCGGACACAACGACTATCCGTTCCTGAAACAAAAGCAAAACCGTAAATTTGATACCAATGACAATCGAAATGTTTGCATTATTTCATGCAGCAACAAACACATTATTTCAACTCACATACAAGAAAAATTAGCAAAAGAAACTGTACGAAATACAAATTTTAATTACAGCACGTCGTTCAACATACCTGGACAAGCAGCAAAGGCGTAGAAGAAAGGAATTGAGATGACGCCAGCGCACTTCGACTCTGCCCACAGTCGCCCCTCCCCTGGCTGTGGCGCGTGTACAGTACAGGGTGATTCAAAAACAAATCTTGTTTCCATGTGCCATTGATTACCACACCACCACTGTATAATCAATGCGTGTACCTCAATACATATGGACTCGTTACAGGAATTCTTTAACGCAACCCTGAATAAAATTGAATATAGTAAAAATATCTGGGGACTGGGGTTTCATTGCCAAGTAATAAAGTTTAGGAGCGTTAAATACTAAAGTGTGCTCCTTAAATTACAGGGCCCTGCAACAGTGCGTCGCGGTGTTCATATTTACTTGCATTTTTACGAATTAATAGCGTCATTTCTTATTAAAAAATAGCGATATTCACATACTCACCCTTCCAATGACCAAATAATGTCCTACCTAAATGAGTAAGCCACCCCAAATGAGTACAACGCACGTACCATAAATTTATAAATAACGATAAGTATGTGTTAAATGTGGAGTGTTACTTTAGGACAAAGGATAGATGAATATAAAAATCAATTTTTTTTGTTATGTTATTCACTGCACAATACAACATTTGAATAAATTAGAAATAGAGATTTCTGGTTTATATAGCGTAATTTATCACAACATGTAATAATTATTTAACATTACTTATGTTTAGAACATAGGTCATCATACTCATCATCAATTGAAAAATAAAAAAATTACAGCAGATCAATACTTTGATTACAGTCTTTTAATCCGTAATCGGCGGGAAAATTGAAAATAAATACTATCCTAAAATTATCATCATTACTAGCTGCAATAGAAGTTGCTGAGATCTGATCTTTAATTAATTATACTGTGAAGAGTTCCAGTACAAACTAGTAATGTTACCTGAAACAAAAGGTAAGTTAAAATCGACGTAACGCGTGAAGCAACTGATGTCAAAAGTACGCAAACAGTTATCACCAATAATTGAACTGGACGGCACGTGAATGTCATGTGCGCACCAAATGTCTTAACGGGGCGCGGGAGGCGGTGGAGCGTACGGAAATCCGCCTGGTGGTGGGAAAAACATCCCCGCATTTTGTTGGACAGGTGGCGGTGGAGGCGGAACAGAGTAGAATGGCATTCCATTAGGTAATTGGAAGGATCCATATGCCGTCGGTGGAGGTATGTTCTGGTATCCTTTCGGTAGTTGCGGTTGAGGCGGAGGAGGTATATTTTGGTATCCGTGAGCAAGTTGAGACGGTTGCGGTGCCATTGCTGGCGGCAGCAGATTCTGATAGCTGATTTGTTGAGGCTGATGCGTTTGATAGGTCTTCGGAAGCTGCGGAAGTGGAAGAGAGACTGGTTGATACGCCTTCGGCGGCTGTGGTACCGCCTGATACGTTTTCATAGGCTGTGGCAGGGGTGGAGGCGGTAGTGCCGTGCACCCATTAGCGGTCACGGGAGGTTGAGATTGTTGTGTTGTGGAAACAGTGGGGTATGCTTTCGTAGGCTGCATGGCTTGAAACGTCGCCCTCTGTGGTTGTGTTACTGCAGGTAACTGTGGTGGCTGAGCGGTTGACTTGCTTGGACGAGGACTACGACTTCGGCTTTTACTGTATGATTTTCTTCGCCTTGTTCGTTCCTTGGAATGGCTGCGATCCCTTCTGTTGTGACGCCGCGGTGATCGTGAGCTGGAGCGCGATACTGTGGGTGTATGTGAGCGCCGAGCTTGGTTTCGTCCGCGCCCCCATCGGTTTCGACCTAAAAGACAATATTTTATTATTGTACAATTTTTGTTTTTATTTTGTTTCTTCAAAACTCACGGTAGCACCTGTTGAGACCCAACACTTTCCTTTTATTGTATTTACTTTTCATGCGCCTGAGCGAATGTAGCGATTTTTGACATGGATGTTCTTTTATAAGAAGTTGATACCGTTAAAATTTCACAAAAATGACTCCACAAATAAGAAATTTACTTCTACGCATGCGTGAAAGCTGATTCTGACATGTTTAATTTAATCAATCTATTTGCTTATATTAACAGGTGCTTCTGTTCGAGTTTCAATAATATCGATTCATAAAAATTTATTTATGGGCGTGCGCATAATATATACGATCGATATGACTTTATTAAAAGGTGCCACTGTTAAAATTTCAGTAAAATCGGTCCAAAATTAAAAAAGTTACTTCTGCGCATGCGCAAAAAGATATGGTCGACAGGTCTAAGTGTTTTCCCGAGAAATTTTGGTGCAGTCGAATTTTGGTAAAAAAGGACACTTGCCTTCTTTTGATCCCCGAAAAAAAAATTGTCTCAGATCGACCCGGAAAAAATTTTTTCTTATAGAACGTGGCCTGTAGAATCCATAATTTCAAACAGTTCCAAGATTGGGCTACTAGTTCAAAAGTTACAGCCCTTTGAATTTTCTGTCGAAATTGGTTTCTAGTCTATAACTTTTGATTGAGAAGTCTGATCGAAAAAGTACGAATTGTTTTGGATTCTACGCACCAAAATTAATAAGAAAAAGTGTTTTCCCGAGAAATTTTGGTGCAGTCGATTTTTGGTAAAAAAGGAAGGTTATACACTGCCTTTTTTTGAGCCCCGAAAAAAAAATTGTCTCAGATCGACCTGGAAAAAAATTTTCTTATAGAATGTGGCCTGTAGAAACCATAATTTCAAACAGTTCCAAGATTGGGCTACTAGTTCAAAAGTTACAGCCCTTTGAATTTTCTTTCGAAATTGGTTTCTAGTCTATAACTTTTGATTGAGAAGTCCGATCGAAAAAGTACGAATTGTTTTGGATTCTACGAACCAAAATTAATAAGAAAAAGTGTTCTCCCGAGAAATTTTGTGCAGTCGATTTTTGGTAAAAAAAGGAAAGTACACTGCCTTTTTTTGAGCCCCGAAAAAAAAATTGTCTCAGACCGACCCGAAAAAAAAATTTTCTTATAGAATGTGGCCCTTAGAATCCATAATTTCAAACAGTTCCAAGATTGGGCTACTAGTTCAAAAGTTACAGCCCTTTGAATTTTCTTTCGAAATTGGTTTCTAGTCCAATGCGCTCACCGATGCTATTCGGGAGGTTGTGGGTTCAAATCCCGCTGCCGACTGCTCTGTCTGGGGTTTTGTCAGGGAGTTTTCCTCAGACATACGTAGCTTCGCATAATGCTAGCATTATGTTGAAATCTACGAGGCGAATGCTGGCGCAGTACTCTCCCCCTCAGCACCCTAACTCCGTTCCTTCCGTTCCCATCCCTAACTTTACCCATCCTTACAATTCCGTTCTCTGGCTGAAGAGGGCCAGGAAGCCCTGAGCAGCCCGCTCCTGGTATCCCTGTAGTCAGGGGTGCCGGAGGAATGAAACATGTTAGCCTTTTTCCTTTTTTTCTAGTCCATAACTTTTGATTGAAAAGTCTGATCGAAAAAGTATGAATTGTTTTGGATTCTACGCACCAAAATTAATAAGAAAAAGTGTTTTCCCGAGAAATTTTGGTGCAGTCGATTTTTGGTAAAAAAGGAAGGTTTTACACTGCCTTTTTTTGAGCCCCGAAAAAAAAATTGTCTCAGATCGACCCGGAAAAAAAATTTTCTTATAGAATGTGGCCTGTAGAATCCATAATTTCAAACAGTTCCAAGATTGGGCCACTAGTTCAAAAGTTACAGCCCTTTGAATTTTCTTTCGAAATTGGTTTCTAGTCCATAACTTTTGATTGAGAAGTCGGATCGAAAAAGTACGAATTGTGCCGTCTCCAAGTGGCCTGCAGAAATGTACGCAATTTATCCCATTAAATTTTGAGTTATTGTGCTAACAACAACTACCTACAACTGACTTTTTTCTGTTATGAAAACAATACTTTACCAACTCATATATGTGTGCGGAAAAGTAATAAACTATTACATACCTCGACTGCTACCAGCACTGTTATTCCAGCTACGGTTGTCAGCCATTTCTTGTAATTTTGGATTGATAACCTGTTTCGCTTCCTTTAGTACCGCGACAAGGTCGGCGGCTTTATTTGCATTTATAGACGTAAAGAACGTGTACGCGGTGCCGGTACGTTGTGAACGCCCTGTACGACCGATCCTATGGACGTAATCTTCCGAATTTGAGGGATAATCAAAATTGATTACAAATTTTACATCTTCTACATCTGCAATACACAGTGTGAACATTAAAAAGGAGTTACGTTATAATTTACTAATGTTGTAGAATAAGAAGAAAATACATAGCTTAAATAACACTGTAAGTACAATACTATTTTAGAATTAATTGTAATGTGAAAACACAAAAAGGGTACACTAGTGGTTAATTGCATTTGATTCACAAAGAAAGTATTTCTTAAAATAAAAGAATTAGGAGTAGTATTTCTCTTGACGTCATTAAATGAACCTAGTAAAAATAAGAAACATCAAATCATAAAACAATATCTGCTGTACGTTACTCCTAATAAACCAAACAGAACCAATAAATTAATAAAAAGTATTTATTAATCGTACTCAAAATTAAATTGTAAAAGTCTACATTATGCAACATACATGTTAAACCAGACGCCAACACTGAAAGTAGTGTTGCTCTAAGATCTCTTTAGGCTCATTTGAGTATCACTAGTTAAACATAATTTGCATAAAGTAAACTCCGCCTAACAGGTACACATAAGCACATCAATAAATTATAAGATGAAGTTTTAATTATTTATATGCGTACAAAATTACAATCAAGAATATGATAGTATAAATTAACAAATAAACGTGTAAGAGAAGTAGGTAATATTTTTTAAGATGCACGATTTTAAAATGAAATTTGACCAATGTCGCAAATAATCACTTGTGGTTCAAGACAATTAAACTCAACCCTTAATTATGATTGGTCAAACCTCAATAAAAATCCCTAAAGTACCAATCAAAATTTCGATGCGTACCAAACATTGTTTACTCAATATCTGGTGGGCAGAGAGCCCAAAGAGTGCAGCAAATATGGGCCCCCGTAGTCGAGATGTGTAACTGGACAATCACACAGGCAAAGCGGAGGAGCCCAGGGAGACACTGAGTAGCCCATAGCCTGAGCCAGTCCACAGTCCAAGAACCAGACTTCGAACGGCCCGGCACAGGGCAGATCGATAAGTGCCTCGGGCTTGCCCTTATTCACGGCCAGGTTATAGCCAGCAGTTCTAAACCACGGACTCCAACATGGCCGCCGACCCGGGCGAAATGGTTGCCGTCGACCGGAGAGGCACAGCCACAATGACTCTACTCTTATGTCATTAACTTGCTTGTGCCTCTGGAAAAGAGAGGCGCCCAATTTAATAAACGACAATACTGCAGTAAGTCCCTTGCACATAGCGCAACAGGCTAATAGTTTGAAAGTGCATCTCTTTGAAAAGAAAAAAAATACGTAAACTAAATAAATAGAATCCTCATTCAAAATCAAAACATAAAATATTAGCCTGTCATAAATTATTCATTTGCATTAAAAAGAAAGGCATACACAAAAACATCATACCTAAACCGCGTGCCGCTACGTCCGTCGCAACGAGGATCGGTGCCTTACCCGATCTAAAATCTTGCAAAACCCAATCTCTCTCTTGTTGAGATTTATCTCCATGAATACAAACGGCTGGCCATCTGAAAATGTAATTTTGTGTGATTAGATGAAATCGCATAAAAACTCTTATTGAAAGATAAACAACTTGTCGCACTAAACCTGATTTGTATATGTGTGAATTACCTTTTAACCATGTAATCAAATCCATTTTTACCACCCACACATTAGTAAAGGAGCACAACCGATTGGAACCAAATTTGGTACCTACACATATTCTTCGACATAAAAGGAACAATATTGAAAAGCTTTTGGCCAGAATTGCGCATGCGCAACAAAAAAACTGTTCATTTTTGACGTTTTTCCATATTATGGCAAATGGCAAATTTTGTAAGAATACCGGCAGATCATTAATATTAGAAGTAGGTATCTGGAAATGAAATTTCTTCGATATATCCAACATATAATAATGTTTATTCTGATAATGCTAACAGTTCCATTGTTGCACGTGATATGATTGTGAAAAAAATGTATGTTTTGGTCTGTTATTATATAACGTACACAGATAGAACCAAAGCTCTCATGCTCAAACCGTTTGAAATATAGATATGAAAATTAGAACGCTTCCATTGGAAATTTTGAGGTTAAAAAAAATTATACAGGGTGTTTACGGTCTTCCCTGTATCCTTTTAAGGGGCGGCAGTACAGCTCAAAAGGAGTCGACAAACCCCAAAACACCTCTTCCCTGTATCCTTTTAAGGGGCGGCAGTACAGCTCAAAAGGAGTCGACAAACCCCAAAACACCCTGTATATAATAATAATATATAATACCTACAGAATAATACAATAATACAAATAATACAAAATGTGATACCTACAGAAAGAGAATGGTATATTTCCAGGTTGTGACTGCCCTGGTTACAATAATGCTGCCACAAGATAAATTCATCACCTTGGTTTCCAGGTGAATTTCTACCAATTATAATTAAATTTGCTGCGACTTTTCCCGTCAAATTATGCGGGAGTAAAGTTTCTAAGTTGGTTTCAAAAACATTCTCCTAAACAAATATCTCATGGTAAGTTGGAGTTTTTATTTTGTCGATTGGAATAACAGTGAGCTTTCATAATCTTCCCACGTTTATCAATGGGGTATTTGTTGGAAATTGTATTTGTCTGGCTATGGTTTTAAATTATAAGCTGGAAATTGGTCGTGTTATGTTAGTTCTACAATTCATCACATTCAATAAAGCTTAATAACAAATAAACCGATATCACAGAATTCGAAAATCAGATACAGCCCTGCAAGCCTGTTGAAACAATGAAATTTAATAAAATGCCGCCAACATTACTATTCCCCCATTCAGTGGGTGTTAAAATTACTGGGTATTAGAGAAAAGATGGGTCTAAAATTGCTATCGTCCAAAAATGGCTATGGGTGCTATGTTAATTATCAAAAATAAAAAAGAAACATACCCATCTCTCTTCATTTTTCTAGTAATTTCATCAACACGTCGTTTAGTCTCAATAAAAATTATAGTTTTGTTTTCAGTCTCGGCCATAATTTCCTTTAGCAACGTGCTCAACTTAGCCTCCTTCTCGTACTCTTGACACACGTCGATAATTTGTAAAATATTATGATTCGCCGATAGTTGAAGTGAGCCGACATTAATTTGTATGTAATCCTTGAGAAACTCGGCGGCCAAAGACTGTACCTCTCGAGGCCAAGTGGCCGACCACATTAGTGTCTGACGATCGGGCCGAATCTGCTCGATGATTTTTCGAATTTGGGGTTCGAAACCCATGTCGAGCATTCTGTCTGCTTCATCTAGCACGAGGTAAGTGCAGCGACGCAGGTTAGTTCGGTTGCTCTCCAGAAAGTCTATTAGTCGGCCGGGCGTTGCGATTACAATTTCCACACCGTCCATCAAATCATTGGCTTGTGGGCCTTTAGGAGCACCGCCAAAAATGCATGTGTTTCGAATGCGAGATGAATGTCCGAATTCTATTGCGACCTGCTGTATTTGTTGGGCCAGCTCGCGTGTTGGTGCCAAGACTAAAGCAACGGGACCGTCGCCTTTTAACAGTCGGGCTTGGTGGTTAATGTGGACGATTGCTGGTAAAATGTAGGATAAGGTCTTCCCGGAGCCAGTAGATGCGATTCCGACCATGTCACGGCCAGAAAGAGCGATTGGCCAGCCCTGTGACTGAATAGGCGTAGGCGTTTTGAAGCCCATCTTACGTATTTCTGTATTTACGTAATCAGGAAAGTTTCCTTCTTCGAATGTTAATACTGGATTGGGTATTGTTTTTCCTTTAAGTGAAATTTCTTTACTTCTACGCCACTCTTCGACGTCGTATACTGAACGATTTGAAACAATTAGGCTCGGAATGTAGAAATCTTTTTTGAAGGGTTCTAGACGATTGAGGTCCCATCTGGGTTTACGTAGGTTAGACCCGGCTGTGTTACGCCGGGCATTGCCACCTGCACCACCTCCACCATAGCCACGATCACGGCTTCTTGACCGCCTACGATCGCGACTTCTAGACCTACATCAAAAGCTGGTCAGAAGAAAGGGAGAAAGCCTACTTACCTTTTTCCCGGACGGCCACGCATTTTACACTTTTATCAAAATTCGCAATTAAGAATTTCGCATTGCCTCAAAATTAACGAATAACGACAATTAATTTCATTCAATACACTCGAAAAATTAGCACAAGAAGATAAAATTAATTAAAGAAAGGTATAATCATAACGGGATTGCGGAACACAGCATCGATTCGTTCCGTATTAATTTAAAATAGCATTCAGCACGTAACGTATGACCCTGCGCTATCCTTGTCCATCCTTACCTAAACACATTTACGTAAACAAATACACGTGTAGTAAAAATCATAGGAGTAGTGGCGAACAAAATTCGTTCACAACGAAGAGTTTGTGAGGTTATGTTTTCCCCATTTAAATTTATCTACGAAATGGATATTTTCAAACAGCTCAAAGAAAAGTGTGTCTTCATTGACAAGGAAATTCGTGAAATCAACGATAAAGTGAAGGATTTAGAAGACGGAGCAGAAGTTAGTCCCAAAAGTATATACAAATTTAATGAAAATCTGAAACAGCTCGAAAAGTCTGTTAAAGGTATCATCACCGAGTTGACAAAAGACATTGAAGACCAACAACAGTTGCTTGGTGAATGTAAAAGCGTGATAAGAGGTGTATTATGTTTAACAGATAATTTACAAAGTGAAGATTCTGAGTCCGTTGACGATAGCTCTACATCTACCCCTACGGAAGATGAAGATATAGAAAACATTGCCCCAATAGAAGAGCCGAAAGTACCCGAGGAGAATTCATCTGATATAGATTCAGCACTTACTGTATTAAATAAATCGTTACCCAGGCTATTGTAATTGTTAATTTTTTAAATAATAAAGAAACAGCATGAATGAATCATTTCTGACCCTTAATGTTTATGAAAAAACAAATTGATTTGGTAACAATATATCTTTCCGGCCTTGAGTATGAACAATCAGCTCGCACTTTTACGTATAACAATCTTTATAGATATTTATTGTCGAAGGGTATATGTATGAGGCCCGTGATTTTTGTGGTGTGGTTGACGGTTGTCTCTTTTCTTGCCAACTATAGGATCTCCCGTACCTCTAAATTTTTTCACAGACCACAATATGTAGACCAAGTTTATAGTTGTTCAAGCGCAGAAGAAAATGGCCATTTTACTAAAATTATTTTATTCGCGAAAATCTGCCCTATTGTAAAACGGCTGAAACAAATGAACCCAAAGGTGCATATCTTAGCAACTTGTGTGCAAGAAATATATCCATTGGTGACGTTAAAAAAAAAGCTATTTCTGTTTAAAAAAAATGCGCTTTATCTGCACAAGAGATCACATTTGTTACAGCCGTTTTACAATACAACATATTTTCGCGAATACCGCAAGGACAGCTATGAAAAGGATTTGAAACACAGCAATAATTACCAATTACATAGTTCTCATAGGGCCCCTTGCACAAAAGCAGTTTAAACCTCGTTTTAAGTTAACGCAATGTATTAGATGAAATTTGAAACCAAACCAAACCAGCAACTAATTTCTATATGAAATTGGTGCCCCATCTGTACAACATACTTACACAGGTCAATTGTGGTGATCAGTGGCGTAGGAAGGGGGGTGCGGACCTGTAGGGGTGACAAAAACGTATCTAAAATTTGAAAAGGCTTATGATTAATTATAGCAAGGGTGACAAGTTGAAATTCCGCCCCGGGTGTCAGAAGACCTTGCTACGCCACTGGTGGTGATAATCAGTACCTTCATAAACGAAAGCAAACTGGCTAGCAGCCACTTTCCAACATTCAAAATCTACCAGCACAGCAAACTGTAGCAAACCAAAAGATACAATACAGTAGTGAAATAAAAACACCAAGAAAAAGTTCCACTAAAAATATACATGTATTTTGTAGACTACCCAACTGTATTGAAAGACAATGAACAAGGTCATGTATCCCATATATAGTTGGCAATAACTTAGAAGATTGTTATGAATGAATAGAACAAATATCTATACTACAGTAGAGCATTTTCCCTACCAGTAACCACCCACACAATTCATATCAACCAATTCAATTACAAAAGAAAAATACTATGCATTTTTTTTAAATAAATATGTACATCATACTTCACACATACAAACTATATCTAAACATTATTTTAAACAAAAAAATTATTATAAGCAGTAACACTTAAAACGCATATCGAGTTCGAATGTCCTCAAGTTTCTTGGAAACTTCTGCAGGTGTACGTTCAAGATCGATAGCAATACTTTTTTGCTTGCTTGGTTCAAGTGAATTATATTGTTCACATAAGTCTCCATCAATTACGTTCTGGAATGAAAGTCGTGAGTTAACATTACAAATTCTGTATGCAATACAAACCTTCACTGGATAATAATAGCTTCTAAATGACAAGTGATCCCGCCCACACAACGGTGAATTCTCACTGCGCATGTGCATCTCAAGATGCTGAAAGAAGTCGTGATCTTCGTGGGAAGTAAATGGTACCAAAACGCCGACGGAGCCGGAAACGGTCGTGTAAATTAGAGATTCCCAGCCACCAGGAATCAAGGTAGCCTTCTGTAACCAAGTGACAGTTTCGCCCACATGGAATGTTGCTATTGTATCAGCCTTTTGAGATGCTCCATTTAAGAGACCTCGATCCCACAAGCTTTTGTTTCCCGTTGGATCCTCGTCCACATCATCTGTTGTGTTGGGGGGAAGTCGTACAATGCCAATGTTACCAAACTTGTCCGCCGTTGCGACGGTGTCATAGTCAAGGACTGAGGTGCAGGTTATCCAACGTGGATGTGTGTCATCCGCGAATATGATCAGCTGATTTTCGTGCTTTTTGTAACGAACCATGTAGATAGATTCTTGAACATCGGCGACAAAAATTCGCCGACCCATCGCCTGAATATTGACGATGAGATTTGGAATGTGCTGCAATATACAAACAAGTATCAGTAAATGGGGGTAAGCTGTGCAGGAGAGCATCTTAAAATTTCTTTTTAAATCAGTACTGCAGGATGTTTCAACACTGAACAATAAGTAAATGTGTATTTTTGTCATCATTTAATGAGGGTAATTACACAAACCGAAGAGTAATGTTAAAATACTATCGCAAGTTATACATAGAAATCAAAAGTTAGCGACTGTCTAGTCACCTTTGGAATTTTTGTTTACATGAGAAATCATACTTAACTTGGCAACAATGCATTGTATTGTACTTTTCATCTCTTTAGGGTGTATAAATAACAAGATGTTTACGACCTATTACCTACCAATAGAAAAAATTACCTTATTCTCACATTTGCGCAATAACTTCTTTTTTCCATAATCGTATAACCTCAACAATCGACCGACCCCGGCCAACAACCGACCATTATACGAACAAACGGCATAAGGAACTTCTTCAACTGGTGTACGATGTATTAGTTCTAACTCGCGACAAGACATCTCCACTTTATAGGTATCTATATATCCCGAAATACATAACCTAGGATTGAGCTGTAAATCCTTGGCGACGCCGACTATCAAAAACCACTGGTGTTCAGGTTGTCCGTTAAACTTGACCAAAGATATACACATTGCAGCTTCATTTTGTTCGAATCTTTTCATTTTAAATGTAGTCCCTTGTACCGGATCCATTATTCTCATTGTAGAAGCCCACATTCCGTGTCCCGCTTTCGGCGCAGAGAAGATATTTTCCGGCAAGTCCTCATTTAAAAAAGCTTCCGCCATTTCCTTTGCCAACTCTTGTTCTTCTTCACCTGCCGCCTCGCGCATTTCTTCCGCCATCTGCAAACGGCGCTGCTTTTTTGTATCCTCAGTGTAGGCATTATGTTCCGTCTCTAGCATAATAATATTGGACGTCTCTGGATGGATAACAAATTTTCGTGGCGTATACTCAAGGGGAAACGAAATCTGATTGAAAACTGCGCCCAATTTTTCCAAGGCCAAAATACGAAGAGTGTTAGTGGAAATTGCAACAATACCCTCGGGACATTGCTCGGAACTGAAACCGGACGCGTACTCTAAACTTTCATATGACAAGGGTGTTAAATAGAAACGGCTTTGATAGTAGTAACTTAGCCACGAACGACTGCTCATAGCCAATACTGCTTCCGAGTCTTGCATTCTTATGCGGAATAGCTTGACGGGTCGCGAGCCAAGATATCTTGTTCTGGTATCGGTCAAATCACCCGAAACAGGATCCAATACAGTCCTGAGGAGAGCACCATTTTGTAAACCAATGTTTAAATACAAGGTACTTGTGGTGCTAGCAGCTGCAGCATCTTCAGGGTTACGTTCTGTACAACCCATTTCGACAATACAAAGTGATTCCGGACACACGGGTAGTGCCTGCATAGAGCGGGGCGATAGACAATCGGTTGGATCTAACGATATAATTCTGACAGTGTTATCTGCCAAGCCGACTGCGAGAAACCAAGAACGTTGCTCTCCAGGTGCCACATTTGCTAATGCCATACAGACTACATCTGAATTCATCCGCTTACGGTCTTTGTATTCGTGCAACTGACCCGTCTGAAAAGAACAAGAGTGTAATCAAATGTTTATAGAAGGGTTGAGTGGTAGAACAAATGTTTCTTAATGATTCACTTCGATATGTTACAAAACCATAGCAAAGGCGACAAAAAGATCTTCCTATAGCATGAAGAAATATCTGATAACTTTTACAGTTACCAGTAGTTATATTCACGCACAATTATTTTTCATAATATACCCACCGGATCCATTTCGAAATACACCAACTCTCCTCCCGATAACGCTATGACCACCTGCCTCTGGTTCACCGCGCATTTAACAATGGTCTTTTTTCCAGGT